TCTGCACGTAGGGTCTTAAAAGTGTTTGTAGATCCTGAAGATTACAAAGATCCCTGCTACAAAACCAATAATGTTGAACACAATCATCACGACAATCCAGAATTTCCATTCTTCTTTGGATGTCTTCACTGCGTCCAATCCACATCCACACTGGATGTTGTCTCCTTTCAGGAATGCTTCTGAAACCATTGGCTGCAAGCCCTCAGAAGCAACCATTCTGACAATCAATTCAGCAATCATAGTGACCTTCCATGCAAAATTCTTCCTCTTCAAACACCCTTCTCTCATACTCCCCTACTCTGATTTGATCTTCACTGTGCCAGTAACCGTGGGGGTTCATCAAGTATCTGAGTCTTTGTCCTCCAAGTGGCTTTGCGTTGATGTCTGCCATGTTGCTATCTGTTGATACCATCTTGAAATCTTTCCTACTCTGAAACCATAGCAACTTTCCATCCAAGTGTGTCACTTTTCCAACTCCTCTATTCGTCGCAAGTTGGCGTGCGCGGGATGAACTTGTGTAAATGTAATGGTCCACCTTTGTCCCAAGAGCAAGTTCAAGAACTGCGCGAATATAGGTTCCATCTGGCGCTGAAGAAACTATTGCATGTAGTTCTGCTTCACATGAAGATAAGCTAAGGATCTTCTGCGTCCTGCTGCTGTTGAACAGTGGACAACTCTTCGATGTGTGGAACCCTCCTGATGTTGACTTTCTGTGGCATTAGTTTCCACTCCAGTCTGAATCTGAGAGTTTCTCCAAGCACCAATAGCTTTCTCTAACCTTCTCCTGCTTGTGGAAACTCAAGTACTAGCCAATCGTCCATAGTATTCTTCAAGTATCCTAGGATTCGAAATGACATAGCTGTGGGTTTGACATTCTTGAAGCCAATTCCTTCACTGTAAATGCTACATCATACCTCTCTTGACATAGGTAGACACTTGATCCAACAATGCTTCTGAAAAGGCTAATCTCGCGCTCTTGTAAAACTTCTGACTTTGTACTTTCTCCTCAGAATTCATCACCAATCCTCTCAATCTTGCTCACTCTGGTAGTCTCCTGTGAAAATCAAGCCACCCACATGGACCAAAATAATACTCTTCTCACGTCTTCCTAGACATGGACACTCAGCACTGAACTTATAGTTGAGTTCCTCTGTGAGGTACTCTATGAAAAGTCAAACCATGCTTTTGCTCCAACTCTTTGTCTCGGTAAATTTCTCTTGACCAAGAATTCTTCTCCTCTCAAGATCACTTTCAATGGCCTCTCTTGTGGAACTTGTAGAAATGCATCTTTCACATCAAGACATCCTAGTACCTGTGAAAGTACTCCTTTTCCCTCTCTTGCTTCTTCCTCTCCACTGAGTCCCTGCAAGAAGGTGAGAAAGTGTTATCTCTCACCGAAAGCAAATTCTCTAGCAACTAGTCTTGACCTTCTCTTCCAGGCCACCTCTTGATTGAAGTTCCATCTCCAAGCTGATATGGTTTCTTCCTCTAGTCATACACACTGCACGTTGTCAGGCAACTGATTCCTTTTGTGCTTCCTTCTGGTTTCTCTAGCACTTGCATCTTCTGGAGTCTTTTCTCTTCGACTTCATCAGCTACTCCGTCTATCCGTTCTTCTGGATCTCCTTCAGGTCCACTTACCTCTCCCAAATCTGATTTACTTTCTTCATCACCCCACTCTTCCTCATCAAAGTATTCTGCACCTGGGGATAACTCTTCATCTAATCTACATGGTAAAGATCCTCACCTCCAACTTTCACCATATTGATCTTGGCCTTCTTGCTTGAATCATCTGACGGCCTGAGTTTCTTCATTGGGCTTTCCTCTTCAAGCAATTCAAATGCTTCTCTTGGTCTTGAGGTGATCTCAATGAAGATAATCTAGGGGTAATTGGGTCCGGCTGTCCTGCCGGCAACGATGTAGAGGGAAATGCCTTCACCTTCTCAAGTGTTTTCTCATCTGTAAAAAAGAACCTTCTGCTTCTTACTTGGTGTCTCTTCTCCACTTGGCTTTCTTTCATCTCTATTTCTTTTCATTGCTTCAGCAATGGTTTCGAGCGGGACTGGAATCTCCATTGGCTCTGGAAATAGTGGTTCTTCTTTCTCTGAATCACTTCCCCCTTCCAGTGCCTTGGCCAAGACTGCCGTTTGCTGAGCTCTACCTGCACTCCATGTGTAAGCACATAGGCGCCTTGCCTTTCAACCTTTCCCAAGAACACTCCTTTGTTGAGGCTCTTGATGTAACCATGAACTGGGTCACCATATACTGCTAGAAGTCCTTTGTAACTTTTTGCCATAGACAAGCAAATAGGGAGTTACACTTTTTACTGGCTGAAATCTATTGAGCGCGCAACTGGCGTGTCTTGCTGCCCAAGTCCAAAGTGCGTGATCTGGCCAAATCTTCAACTATAAACCAGCACCACCAGAGGATATGGGATTCATTCATGTTGCGCCACTAGGAAGCAAAGACCAATTTCGCCCTATTGCGCAAGAGTTGATGTATTTCAGTCAATTGTTGGGGTATTCAGCAATCGCCTACAGGAGTGACGATGAACCCACAAGACGCTGATCAATGCTTGCCGCAGTCTAGGACTCACCGCTAGATTGGTAAACTCAAAGCTTGGAGATCGTTCATTTCTGTCAGAGAACACAGGGTGAGACAGCTTGGAGGAACTTTCATTGAAGGTGCGCGTCAAGACGGAATGACTGCATCATCGTCATCATCATCATCATTGTCAAAGGACTGCTCATCAGGTTCCCCTTTTTCATCATGCTTTCAAAAAATTCAGGCGTTAGCCATCTACCTCCTCTTTCACCAAAGTGGTTCTCGTAAGCTCTGGTGATTCTTCCTCTTCTGGAATGACTGCGGGATCCACAAATCATGAAGTCAATAAGCTTCCAACTAGCAGTACACGCTCATTGAATCTCCAACCTGATTCTTTCTCCAAAGCTTCAGGTACTTGCACCTCCAAGCAGCTCTCGTCTTCATCTCGAATGACTCTATTGCGGCCTTGAACTGTCAAAGAGCGATTCTGTAGGTTGAGTGGTACTTTCAACTCGCCATTCTCCAACATTTGCTCTCTGCCGTTGATTGCCCAACCATGTTCCATCAATCCTCCCTAACAAAGTATGGGTTGATTCACCTTTGAACTGAAAATCATATTCTATTTGAGAAGAACTTCTCGTCCATCAAGGTCTTGCAAAGAAATTTCAACACTTTTCGCACCTCCTGTGGGGATACGATTTCCTTGTGCATCTTGTAGCTTTGTCTTTGCGCTCAATTGCAACTCTCCTTCCCCATGATCTGCCATTGTCAAAGGGAATAACGCTACATCAGCTCCACTGTCAATGATGATGGTCACATCCCTCCTTACCATGGGTTCGTCATCTGAGATTGAGATTGACATCTCCTCAACTTCCTGGATTTCTGGCTCGTCATCATCATGATCTCCAATGTAGAAGTGAATTGCTCGAATTCCTTGATCTTCTAGCTCATCATCCTTCTCTCGCAAGTCAAAGATGATTTGCTCACTCTTCTCAATTCTCCTGACCACTGGCTTGGTCTCTGCTGAGCTACCTTGTTGGCTCACATTGGCATGCTGTTGGCCAACTGTATGAGTTGTCCTCCTGGAGATGAATGGGCCTGATCACTTGCTACCTCTCGAATATGGTTCCTCCAACAGTCTTTAGCAAGATGTCCTGGCCTTCCACAAGCGTAACACGTTGCCACACCCTTGCCTTTCTGGTTTTTGCATTTACCTTTGACCCTGTAATCACCTTCCTTTCCTCTCTGATCTCCTTTTCCTTTCTTTCCTTTGCCCTTAGCATCTTTACCTTTGCCTTTCTGATGGTCATTCTTGCCTTTCTTACCTTTTCCTTTGGCATCTTGAACTCGATCAATGTACTGCTACTCGCCACCATGGAAGTAGCCCACTTCTGCTGAGAGCGGTCCGATTGCTGTTCCCTCAAAGTTGAGTGCTGAACATTGTCGCCAATTGTCAACTTCAAGTGTGGTTTGAGTTGTCCACCTACACATCTCAGAAGAATAGCAGATTTCAACTCTTCCTGAATTGCAGTCCCTGACTTGACCGTCTCATTCTTCAAACTTAAAAAAAACGCACTGTTCATAACAAGTGGTGGTCATTTAGTGGCTATTTGAAGAGTGCTAAGCCTCTCGCCTTCGAAGCTGGTTTCAAATCTTTATTCAAACTCCTCCAGGCATCAAGTCGATTGGAATCTTCCACAGCCTTCACCAATTACAGCGCCCTTCCTCTCATCAACGAAGCTAACAGTCAGCGAACAATCCATAACGCTTGATGCGCCTGGTCTTCTCTGTTTCAGTTGCCAAGTCCATATAGGCTTTGCTATCAGTTTTGACCTATCTGTTGTTGATGACTCCTTTTCTTCAACTGCTTTCTTCACTGCCTCATCTTCTCTGTGTACTAATGTCTCTTTGACACAAAGTACTGGGCGCAGAGTGTTACTAACAACAGTTCTTCACAAGTCCAGCTGTTTGGGTTCCAAAGGCCCCAAATCTATGGCTCGAAATCGCACTTGGGACCCCAGTGACCTAGAGGCTTTTCTATGGAGCTCAAAGGGGGTTGCCCTTATCCCAGCTCCACTACCATACGCACTTTTTCTTGACACTCAAAAGGGCTGCAGTGGGGTCTCATGCATGCTCATGATGCAAACGATGTCACACAACTGTACTATAAGTGGAAAATGGTCGCATTATTTTACATAATATATACACTATATATTGTTATGTACTGCACACACAATCAGAAAGGTCCATAGAAGTCCACTGACATGGCCTGGGAAATCACGCAGTGTTTTGATCAGCCAATCCTGTGTCAAACTTCGTGATATAAGCCCATTTTTGCACTGTATTGTTTTATGGGTCCGGAGAGGTTGTGCTCACCCTGCTGTCACTCCACCTTTGCCATTGCGTGGGCAGCTATGCTCCTAATACATAATACCTACCTGACCTACCTTTTTCCTGTGCCAGCAAGACGGGGACCCCCAGTCTCCCACAATGCCCCCGCTTGAGAGACTGCGGACGTGTACGACATGTTGCTTGCTTTCAGACAGCTGACATGTGCATGCCATGAACTTCTGCCTACGGAAAAAAGTCTCAAATCTTGATACATTCACAATGAATTAATTGATTCTGCGCAAACCACTCTTTTGGCTGATTCACGCAGCACGACAAGGCCCGCAAGTGGACTTAGAATCTGCAGCTCGAAGCCGGAACAAGTCTGGTCCACTCCACGGATGAGTGGGCACAGGTAAAATTCGGATTGTCGGATGAGAAAGCTGGCAGACCAGACGGTGACATCGCTCATGACTGGCACTTGATCACATCCACTTGCCAATGAAGAGTGTAATGTAGGGAGATTGAGGTCTCGATGGTCATGGTCATGGTTTTCAATAACTTCAAAATCACGCTCAGGATGGCTGAGGGGGGCAACACCTACGAACGTGCTGCTCCCCTTGACTTGGGAATTCGATGCGCAGCCAGAAATGCGGTGCATGTCATTCCTTGACACACCAGCCTGATTCAAGATACTTAAGAACTGCCCAAAGCTAATGCGGCCAGAATTTGTTGGATCACATCTGGCCAAAAGCACATCTTTCCTGGAATCATCAACATTACATGCTGCCAGGAAGCTTGCAAACAATGGTTTCAATTCTTGCAGCGAGAGATATTCTTCTTTGTCTGCAATGGGTTGAACCATTCGATGCAAGGACCTATGGACAGAGTCCTGCTTCCACCACACAGCTTCTTCTGGATTGCGGGTCAAAATGACTGTAAGAGGTACTGGTACACTGGCTGCAAGTATTTTGACGGACGTCAGTTGGTCAAACCGCAGCCGAAGCACAGAACCCAGGTGTCCAAGGCTAGGGCTACTTTGTTCAAATGGCTTGCTGTAGAATGTGCCGAATGACCCAACAAAGGAAAAATCCGTTGCTATATTGGGCCTCAGTTCTTCAACAAGGATCGAGTCACTGTCCAGCCATGCAAAATGCACTTGAAGGTGGCCAGTGCCCAGATCACCGGGAAAAAATAATGATGGGACGACTCGGTATTCACTGCATCCCATTGGGGACAACTCTTCAACACAAACGATAACAGAAACATCCCGTTTGCTGCAGAATGGTGTTTGCACCAAAATGCGCCGTCGATTTCGGGTGCAGCAGTTCAAATCGGTGTCCACTTGATTGACAACATTCTCTTGGATGAGGAACGTGAGTCCAAGTTGGGGATACATTGACTGGCAACCGAATTCATGACACACGCGCCTTGCATCAGGCTGAGAAACGGTAATGGCCAATGGTACCGGATGTGTCGCAGAAACTCTGAACATGGAGTTGGTGTGAAAAGATGGAAAATTGGAGCAACCGCCCGCATTCTCATGGGTGATCTGCAGTGAAAAGGACGTCTTCCGCAATCCTTGTGCATCAAATACGCATCCAAAGGTGGTGTGGCAGATTGAGAGGCGATTGAAGAAGCAAAGAAAGTCTTTGCTCTCGACCCAAAAAGTATGTTTTTGACACTCCGAGCACGCTGGATCCAGAATTTCCAACTTGAGTTCAGAACCGGTTTCTTGCACCACGTCCGAAATGACGTATGAATGATTTGTCCTGATATGTTGATGCAGTGGCAAATCAGCACCCCTTGACGCCCATGAACATGCTAGCAAGCTACCCTCTTCCCAATGTTGCGCAACGCGCGAGGAATAGTCAGGTGCCCGCAACAAATTGAGTTCTTCCACTGGAAGTGCGGTCAAATCCATGAGCGCCTCATCAATATGACCTCCAATCAAAGAAGCGTAAGAACCATAGGCCTTAGCACAGGCCTTTTCTATAAAACACGCATACAGCTCTCGAGGCTCTCCCACAAAATGATGTGCGAAAGCCGGTTGTCCTTGAAAGCAGGGCAATAGGGTGTCAATTGTAATCTCTTCCCAGGAACCGTTCAGAAAGAGCCTCACTGTACACCATCCTTCTTCCGGTTTGTATGCAACGAATAGTTGGCTCAACAGGCGAGGTTGTCTGGCACAAAGGGCAATAGCGGCCACCAGGTAGCAGTCAGACAAAATACCCTGAGTGACGTTTCGCATTCCACATGGCTTTGGCTCAGCCAACGACCCTTCAAACAGCACAGTTCCTGAAGACGTAAGCTGGTCTGGACGCAGCCATTCCAACCTTTCAAAGCACCGTCGGATGCCTTTCACTCCCCAAAGCGATGCATTAGTGGGCGGGAAGTTCGGATCGACAAACATTATCAGAAGGCTGAAAGGTTTGAACTGCAAATGCCACTTCACTGCTCATCTTCTTCACGGTCAAACCAATCCATGATCCTCTTCAAAAACTCACACCAGAAGGAAACAAGGCCTCCTTGCGAGGGGGTACCTAAGGGGGCATCCATTTGAGGTGCTACATGCTCCCTTTTGCCAGTGCTCCTGGCTCCCAAACAGAGTTTTGTGGGATACCTGGATAACACTGTCTGTCTCTTTTCAGGGCTGGGTGTTGAGATGTTCGCTACGCCACCTCAATTGTTCCAACGTTAGGTCCCATTTACGGTTTTGCCACCAGACGCATTTCATCACGCCACCTTCAAAGCCTGGCGTCCTATGCAAACAACAGCGGCCGAACACAACTAGCTCGATCAGAGACAGCCCAAAAAGCAAGGCATACCAGGCAACTTAAGCAACCAAGCAAGCCCAAACAGCCGGAGACAACCCAGCACAGCTGAGGCTTCAGTCGGGCATGGCTGGCCGCGCAGCTTGACATCGCAAAAGAGGTGACCTATGCAACCCAACGTCGAAAACAGCCAGCCGGAGACACAGGAAGGGCGACCCAAGCAACCCACGCACCCCAAAAACATGGAGACAAGAGGAGAAAACCCCACAACCAGCAAAAACACTCTCTCAAAGGCATAAAAGCCTCTTTGAGGGAAAATGAACCAAGGCCAAGATGGGCAATGTCCTAGCTGCAGTTCGCCCTGAGAACTCAAAGAGGCACTCGACATGACCCATGTTCAGTAGCGCTGAATACTCAATGGACTGACGGACGTCGTGTTCTTTCCCTGAGACTCCATGTCCTTTGCCAATGCGATGGCGCCGGCGCTCTGTTCTGCGCTAAGGAAAGGGGACAAGACAGGCCCGTTGGTCATTGCAATTGAAGGTGTCAGTAGGACTTCGTCGATGAATTTGTCTCAGTAAATGTGCTTTGGAAAGGTTCAGAGTGACTCGTTCTGCCTCTTTCACCTGCCCCTTTTCGAAAGTGACCCGAGTACCAAATGGTCAAATCGGGGCCCAAGCCCTCACTGAGCCATTGTGAGTTTTCATGCTTGAAACTATGAGCCACAGGAGGTCCGCAAATGAAACTCACAATAAGTTCAATTTGTCGAAATGTGTTCATATTGCAAGGACCCCTCGACTCCCTAGAACAATCTAACATTAGACTGCTGAATGTCTTAGGAAAAATTAGACACCTGTTTGTCTGTCACCTCCCACATAGGGTTAAACATTCCACGTCCTACATTGATCAGCAACCTGTGACTAAATGGATTCAAACAGTCAACCTTGCAAGAGTTTGTCGATTTCTTCTCGCAAGGGCAAAGCGCACAAGAGCGTGTCTGTATGTTGTCTTGGGGAGTGGACTGCTGACAAACTTCACGAGTCAATCAACCACGACATCTCTTTTGCCAGTGCACGCATGATCTCCTTCAGAAACCAAACTCGTCTCACTGTGTTTTGCATTCGCCCTGCCGAGCAGCCCGATACAAAGCAAACTTACTTGGGGCACGTGTTGTGATTCCTCGCGCACCACACAATATACACAATCCCTGTTCCATGGTCACTGTAAGGGCTCTGTGCTGTTCTTCATGCGTGTTCTTTCTGAAGAAACCTTCTTCTTGGCTTTATGTCCTTGATACGTCCTGTCTTTCCATGTTTAAACTTTTTTTCCTCCCTTTATTTCTTCCTTGTTTTTAACTAGGCCCTTAAATTTAGTTTACCAGCGCCGCGGGATGCCTCTGCTTTTTGCGGAGGTTCCGGCTCTGGTCGTTGCCTCAGAAATAAGTTCAAGTAAGGCTTTCAGTGCAGTCTTTGTTTTACTGCCAAACGCAAACTATCTGTTACAATGCATAGGAAACTCCAAAGTTGCAGGTCGCCCAGTCAAAAGTTGAATAATTACTCGAGTCTGTCCCTTTGCCATCCTGTCTTGGACCCTCACTCCTCCTCATCGGATTCGTCTTGACCTCATTTGTCACAGCAACTACTACCGCTCCTACTGCTCCTCCTACTGCTCCTGCCGCTCCTACTCCTAAAAGGCTCGAAGGCCCTCTGCCATTCTATATGATTCTATAAACTGCTTCCAACTCTGCGAGCAAAGCAATGGGACCTTAAGGAGCGCGCCCTTGCCATTGGTATCCTGCTTCTTGTCGAAAGAAGGGATTCCAAACAGGCTCGGAACTGAAACCTCGAAGCCACTTGCAGCAATATCTTCTTTCAGTACAAGTACGTACAAGTATGCGCGCTCCCGCAACATTGACGTTTTCGAGGGTGAGCAAACCTTCACCGTGGAAGTCTGAGCTTTGGAGACCAAACACCCAGCTCTTGGGTCTGCAGCTACTCATGCAGGTGACCATGTGGTTGTGAGAGCAACAATCAATATCCCCTGGTCTAAAACACCCTTGCCAGCTCACCTGCAAGCATCATACAATAGGATCCTGATTACAGTATCATTTATGACAGACTCGATCCATATTATGTTGAAGCTTGGACTTGAGGCACGTCGAAGGCCGAAGGCCCAAATGTGCGGTCCGTCCGAGCTGCTCCTGAGCCTGTCTCGGCGGGTGCCTCATGGCCAGGCCTAGGACCACAAAATCTGAACGCAGGAAGCATTCAAGAATGAGTTGCGCCAAAGTGGTGCTTGGGGAATGCAAATGACAAATACATAATGCAAACATATACATATATATATATACATACATACAAACCTTATCTAGATATATGAGGGCTCATGTACTTTTCTTGAGAGGCTGGAAGTAATGCAAGTATGTAATTCAGCAAGCGCAAGTGACTTGGGGGTCCGGCTCCTCTGGTTTCACATCAGTTTCATACCTGCCAAGGTGTGTGAAGTTTCTGAAGCAAATGGCAGGTTCAATGAACTCAGGACAATCGGCGAGCAAACAAGTCGGCTGCTCTGTTCCCATGCCTGAGGACTTGTGTAGAACTTTCCAGGGTCGAGATCGTAGGTCTACATGGCAGGAATAGGCTTGGAACAAAGTATCCACAGAGGAGGTTTCATCAAAGCAACCCGGCCCATTGCAAACCTTGCAAACTTTTGCGTATAGGACAGCTTCTCTGCCGACATGTTTCTCCAATAGCGCCTTGCATTCAGCTGTGTGATTGCTCCAATTCCCGCACAGCATCTGCTGGCTACTCCTGCAAGTAATATTGACCAGCGCCTGGATGTTTTTCAATTTGTGAGGATTCCGCCGACGATAGACCGCTTCTATCTGAACAATTGCTGGAAATTGATCTTTTTCTGCATGGTTTTGTATCCACACACTCTTCATACACCCTCTCGGCCAAAACCATCAGTTGAATCGGTCATATTGTCTTGGTTTGTTTGTCCAACTAAGTGTGTTTTTTCTGCCTGGCAGCGCCAAAATCCCACTGAGTCTGTGGATTCCTTTCTGTTGACTGCTTCCTGGCGCCGCACTGTCCGACCCTCTCTTCTGTTGCGCAGAATGAAACCATACAAAATATGGTTTCTGAACCCGCTGCCTCTGCTCCAACATTCTGTACATCCTTTTGCCGATGAACGTGCAAGCACACGGCTCTCTCATGTGTACACACAATAGTGTGTGTGTGTGTGTGAACATTGATCTATTGATATATACATATATATACAATAAATCATGTAACTATATTGCTTGCACAAAAAATAAAAATAAAAACAAATTCTGATGACGGGGCCACCAACAAGCTCCTATGTTGGCTTTGCCTCCGCAACGTCGGCAACTGCAATGTCTGAAGTCCATCTGTACCATATACCTTTAATTAAACCATCTAACCTGCAAAGAAAGGGTGCTCTCCAAGCCAGTCCAGACAAAGAACAAGAAAACAAGTTACCCTACACATCAGGCATCGCTACCTTGCAAGTGATGGGCATAGACTTTGAAATGTGAAAGCTGACATGGGCTTTGACAGCATGAAGGGTCCACGGGGGGGGTTGCCCGGAAAGCAAACGTTTCCGACCACGGAACAAAGTTCTCCTGGCGGGTGGGGGGGGGCTGAGGACAACTTGATCTTCGCGCTGCGCTTTTGGGCGTTGCGATGCGAAGCTGCAACGAGAGCCATTGAAGGCCTCGCAGCATTGTGGTTCAGCCAACATCCGGGGTTGTACTCAATGCTAGAGGCTGTGGAAATACACAGAGAGGCTGTGGTCCGCCAGCTCAAAAGAACAGTGAGCTGTCATGGCTCAATTGGGAAGAGGACTGATGTCGTGGCGCATGGGACTGACAGGTCTTTGGATGGTCTTAAAAGTGCACTCAAGTTATCGTCTTGGAGTTCACGAGAAGTTGAGTGTCCCGAAACCCAAAATACCCTGTAAAACGCATTGTTTTCTGGCCCTTTGCATGTTGCAGTCCGGGCAAACCCTCTCCGTTTACCCAACATGGAGCAAGACCTCTGGTCAGACATCAGCTTTGACATGCATCAAGGCATGAAGACTCGCATATGCCCTCTGGGCTGGAGAACCACCAGGGTCATTCACAGCGTTACTCGGACAATCTGGACGAGTCGGAGGTGCCCATCCTAACTCAGGCAGAGCTGGATAAAGCCTACCGACATCATGTCAAATCACTGGAGCAGATCCGCAGACTGACGCGCAACTAAATGAAGAACACATTGCAGCATTGAGGGCCAAAACATGTGTCAGAACATATGTCAGAATGTGTTCATGTCAGATGTATGTCAGGTTGATTCGCTTTCCTATGTTTCTCAACGCGCCGCCTGTCCACCACCCTTGCACAAGTTCTGACTTGTTTTCTGGCATGAAGGTTGACAAAATCCAGACATGTGTTCCGAAATATGCCCTGACATGTGTGTTAATGCCATCCTTTCTGGCATGAAGACTTGCATTTGACTTGGCAAAAGTTTGGCATATGTTCTGAAATTAGGCCTGACATGGCCCTGACATACGTTCCGACACGAAGACTGCCAGGGAGTAGCAGTACGAGTAGCCTGTTCGAAGGATGTGGATGAGGTGCCTTCCATGGAAGGTTTTAGAGGACGTTTGGGTATATATCATTGTCCAAGTAGTGATAATCGCTCCCCAATCAGCACCTGCCTATATGTATATGGACAAACCTAGCTAAAGGAATCTGTTGGGGACGGTCATGGCCTGCACCCGTTCCCTTATCTATTCTTTTACAACCAACCAGGGGCGGTCAACCCAAATCATACTGTAGATTTTGTCCAATCCTCATTTGCATTGGATATCCATGGGTCCATGGACGCATGATTGCTGTGTTTGTTCAATGCCTTTGTCATCCTTTGTCTGCGGAGCAATTCTCATGGCATGGCCAAAGCTTCCTTCTCAAGCTCATCTGCTGTCCGCTTCATAGCACAGCGCAGGAAGGATACATAGAGTTTTGTGTCCCTAGTCTGTCCTTCTGCATTGTCTGTGTCCTGATTTTGGAAAGCAACACTTTTAGCAGGATTTTTTAATACTAGTTTGGTGACGGCTGATTGAATCTCACCATGTTCCAAACAGTGGCGACACGTGCAATCGAATTGAAAGTCTTAGGTTGCAGACGACATAATGACACAACAGCATTGATGGCTACGAGCCAAGTAGCAAAAACAATCAAACCTTTCTCTATGAATTCAGCGTTTGATTGCTGATGCAGGATCAATGATTCCAGGCTCAATAAATGTTGCATCACCGAAAATCCACAGAGAGAACAATAAAGCGTGGGCAGGACAGAATCTCTTTTGCATGGCTCGACGAGTCTGGTTCGCTTCGCCACCATGCAGGTTGATGCTTGTCCTCAGGCACACTAGAACTGCTTCAAAAGAGCCTTTGCAAAGGCCAGGCTTCCAGCTCGATAAGCAACACCCCAGGTTCTTTGCGGCAATACCTTTGCAAAACCGAATTGACCATGACCAGCGCAGCAATTCTACTCAGACCTATGCCTGCTGCTTGCGCATTGCAGCTTCCAAGCGCAACAGCACGTGCGCATCCGTTGCAGCATAGATCACCTGTAAGATGTTGTGTACCGAAAATCTATGATAATAGAGTTCGGTTTGCAATGACACTTTCACACATTTTTGTCCCCACCTGAACTGTGCTCAACGGGCGGAAGTTCCAATTGCTGACCTAAGCAACCAAGTCGAGCGGGACCTGTCAAGCATTTAATGGCGTAAGCGAAGGAAGAAATCAATACATGCATAAAGTTGCATAAACATAGCAAGGACGCTACTAGGGGCTCCTGGCATCGCTACTAGGAGCAAGGACGCTACTAGGGGCTCCTGGCCGTACTACTAGTAACAAGAAGCTATTAGAAACAATAATATCCAAAAATATCTCGCCTTCGTTTCTCGCTCTACTGTCTTGGCCAGGTGACACGGTATTGCTTGCTCAAAGACTCTCCCAAATAAGTGTTGACCTCGACAAAGCTACACAGTGGAAGAATTGTTCGTCGAGGTGTTCGAAAGCAAGCCCAGGGTCCTTCATCTAGGCGTTGCAAAGCTTCTTGCTAAAGCCAAGGGTCTAATCGAGACAAGGATTGATGGCCACCAACTGTGAAGACTTGCTCGGAATGCTCCTCGCTGAAACAAAGGCATTTTGCATGGCACCTCTACCATGTATATAGATACTACACGCACAGTCACAATCAGTCCACTTCAGCCACTGGCATCCTATGGAAATTATGCTCCATCCATGTCCTCCAGCGGATAGGGAGGTAAAGGATCTTCTCCAAGTCTCCCAATCTTTTCCAAGTCGTCTGCCTGGCAGAGATTTAATTCACATCGAAGATTCAACACGCAACTCACATCTCAAGGCCTTAAGAGCTTCTCCCATAAGCATCTCACGTCCCAAAGGCGTGTCCTTCAAACCCGCTCGGCTGCTTGGTAAGCATTGAATGTCATAAAAACCACAAAGACATCTTCCCAGAGCTCAAAGAATACAAGTGGTAGTAGGTGGATGCAGGCTGGACCATGATCAATTCGGATCGATACTTGCTCTTCTCCTGTTGTGATTTGGCTTTATCAATCTGCTTCCTCTGGTTTTGTCGAATAAGGTCCGATTCACACTCAAGAGGTCGAAGGTATTTTCAAGGCATTGCAGCATTCCATTCAGAAGGCAAAAATGTTAAGTATCCGTCTGATCTAACTGAAGAGATTGTTGAAGCCCGACCACGCATACTCTAGATTCTAGATGAATCAAGGAGCTGGGCGACTTCGCAGAAAAGACTGCCAACAACAAGCGATGTAGCCCCATTGGCAGGGAAAGCTTCTGGAAAAACATTGACAATTGGTTGTGTCTTGCCAATTGAACATAAGGCTTCTCGTTGGTGGCTGGTTTGCCATATTTGTCCATGCCAAGCATTTTGTCCGGTCCATTGGCTTGATTTGTCGTTGGATGCTGATTGCTGTCTGGCTTCTTGAACAATAACACGTGTGCATCAAAACATAGAGGTTGTTCGGCGCCAGCTGCACACGAAAGAGGCTATCTCCAATGTGAGTCTTCTCGGTTCTCAAGGCTGCCTCTTCCCTTTAGCATTTGCCTCCAATGCATGTTTAGGCCTTCTGTCGTTACTTCTCCCCAAGAATCAAGTCTATTCAATGGTCTTCCACCGATAAACACGCTTTACTTTTCTGTGTTCTTCTCATGATTTCGCGCTGGCCTCGCATGTTCTCCAGCCAGCCTTTTCTTCGCCAATTCAGGCTATATTAAAATGAGAAATGTTGTCCATTCAACCCATTCGCTTCAAACCACCTATTCTCCTTCCACTATGTCCACTAGGTTCTGCACACTCATCCCTCATAACAAAAGAACTTTTGGGGTGGCACAAAGGGAAACCAACGCTTGTGGAGTCAGAAGCGGTTGTTTTTAGTCCTCTGCACGTGGCTTCTTGACATCTATTCTGCGGACTCGCTGCATGTACAAGTCCAAGACCTGGGAGCAAAAGCGGCAAACATTTCAGAGGTCAGTGGAATGTGTCTTGGCCGCGTACACTGGCAAGGTAGTCTCGGCTGCCAAATGTGCGGCCAAAGGGTCCAAACAACATGTTCAAGCGAATTAGGTCCTTAGAACTAAATGCTGACGAACTGTACAAATAGCCATTGTGCTGGGGTCGTCTTAAGCCCAGGTCGTGTGGAAATCCAAAAAAGAGCTTCGTAATGCTTTCCCGCCTGAAAAGTGCTGCAAGTGGGAATGTCAATGGAAATCAAGCTGTTGAATCGAAAAAAGATTGAAAATGCACTGATAGTATCTGAGTCAAAAGCTTTAAGAGGTATTCCACCAAGCAATGCAAAACCTCAAGGCCAAACTCAGTCATTCTGCCATGCATGTGGTTGTGGAATGCTTTGGTCCACACAGCCATATATAGAGGCCTCAGTGATCGAGTCCATTACAAAAACAATAGTACAAGTAATAATAAGAATAATAGCAAAATAAATCATAAGCCTATCACTCCATGACCACAAAGATTAGCTTCTGACGTTCGGTTCACACAGTCCAGGACAAAAGCTCGGCTCGGCCTGTGAACGCACAAGCGCAAACGGGAACATACAAAAGATTTACGCGTTCAACGAATGGCCACTCGTACGTAGAAAATATGGATGTTTACAATGCCAAGTTCCAACTCCTAGGTCATGAATGCAACAGAATGTAACGGATATTGTTGCTGTTGACAGAGCCCCTGTGCTGTTTCAAGATCTCTGAATGTCACTTGAGTGCAAGTTTTGGAACAACGGCATTGCAATCCTTGCCATGCTACCAACCAAGGCCGGGGCGTTGCTATCTGTATAATAGACACTGGCCTGCCGTGCTTGGACTGGAAAAAGAGCGGGCGTTGAGCAGCACAGAGGCTCCAACTGTGGATCAGACCACTCAAGGTCAATGCCAATGTATTCGGGGGCCGCCTAAAAGGCAAAGTTTGTTCCTCTTCAAAACATGAGGAAAAAAGCATGATAAGTTTGTCTCATCTCAGGCCTGCTGGAAGAACGTCAGCACCTGAGGGTTTCTGAACTTTAGAGCCCAACAATGTATAGATGTCTGGATTATCACAAAAACAGCTATCCTTTTAAGGGTCCCAGACTGATTCATATTGATGTTGCCTTTTCAATTGTTGCCTTCCCTCAGCATAATTTTGGCATAACTAGTTTTGGCAAGTGACGTGAGAGAGACCTTGAGCTGAATCAACAAAGTGGATTGCATCGAGCGGCAGCGTAGCGGAAGGAGATGGCAGTGCCTTAAGTGAAGAGGCTGTTCAGCGTCAAGCTGGCGTCACCAATCCCAGCCTCTGCTTGGCGCAGCAGATTTGATTCCTGACCCGAGCCACAACAACTCAACATAGCTCAACAGTTCAAAAGTCTGCTCTTGCACACCGGCGTTGATTTCAGGTTTCCTGGCCACATTCCTTTGGAGACTCCCAAAATCACGTGTTGTGCTAGCTTGGCCTCCATTGAGCTTGGTTCCCAAAGGGCCACATCCTCGGCTACTATATCCATATTCAGAGGGCAGCAACATCTGAATTCAGGAGATATGTGGAGACAAAGTGGCCTGAGGTGAATGGAAACGGGGTGACCTGCTTGGCATGGACTGATGCAAAATGCAAAGGTACGAGATGAAACGAGACAGATTGAGAGGCCCGGAGTAGTATATATGTTACAAACTATATAATCAGAAGTCGGCTTTGTACATTGACATGTTCTTCCTCGAGCTTGAAGACGAAGGTCGGCAAAAACCGGAAGGATCAGAGTGTGAAATGTAATCGACAAATCCGAGATAGCATGGGATGAGCTAAGGCTGAGGTGAGGTGACAAGGCACCTATCAAGTCTGCAAGTCTGCAAGAACACGTTTGTCTGCAGTGGGCGCACATTGGATGCTTCAGCTTGAGCAAGCACTTGGTATGCATCGACCTCATTGTGCAAGGAAACACCATCAACAATCGTTGCTTCCTAATCACAACGCTTTTTGACGTTGAAACTTGGAAATACTCGTGTGTGTGTGTGTGATGTGTTTATGTTTCTTGTGATTTCAGTTCATGGATTCAGAGTCTGCATGTTTGAGTTTACAAGTTCATTTGAAAACAAGAATTACTCGAAACACACATGCAAAAGCTGCTGATTCCCGTGACTGTATTTCTCATGATGTCCTTGTGATTGAATGTTGGCTGCAAGTGTTCTTTTGAGTTGATTGGTTAACGCAGAGTTCTTGCCATCCATATGTATCAATTTAGAATTCTTGCATCTGGCTCATCTGGCCAACCATGCAACCATGCATTTAGCTTTCAACTTCAACGGTGACAATGGGGTTTGCCCAATCTGCTGCTTCAAATGCCAGCTCTGCAGGATGGCCCTGGATACCAAGGCATCCAACTCTAGAACGCGGTATCATTAAGTGGATGTGTCTAACCTCAAAGGGGGCCCTGAAGTCAATCATGTATCCATACTAGTAGGGCTCTAGATTTCTTTCAATCCTAGGGCTTACTAGGGCTTATGGACTGTTGTTAATCTTACGTGACGCTGCTCTGGGACCCCTCTTTATCCGTCTTTGCACTTTGACCCTGCAAATGAAAACTGTGCTTAGCAAAAGCGGAACCTTTCAAGCCAAAATGTGCAAAGTTTCAATTCTCGGCTGCAATCTTCCACCGCTGTGTTTGTCACGTTTGGTTACCACGGCAAGCATATACGGCTTGGCTGGTGGTTGCATAAAGAAGATTAAAGAAGTATGGTCTTGCTCAAGCTGCGATGTGTCTTGAAACCAATACCAAACCCGCAACATGATCTGCAGAACCTCCAGCTGGAAAGGCAGCTTCACTGAATTGCTATACTACGGCATCCAAAAAGTGTCTTTTACGAACAAAGGACACATAAAACAGAATGCCTCCACCAACTCTACCTTTGCTTATAGGTGATCATATTCGTTCATATATTACTATTTTATTATTATGTTTGTTATATAAGTGAGTGTATGAAGGCAAACGCGCATAGTCAAAAAACATGTAGACAATATCATTTCTCTAGAGTTTGCTGTTTCTCTGGATTTGGTTTGGAACAAGGAGCTACTCAAAATAGCCAAAGAAATGCATCTTTTGTTTGCATATTTCCAACTCACAGAGGCACCTCAATATCAACAACGAAACTGAGATGGAGTCACTTCGGCATCCTCTCTCCTGCAGCATCTGAGCATCAGACTCGCAAGACACTGTATTCGGGAATTGTTGTTTGTTTCCTTGACTGTTCTTCTGGATAATGAAAAGCAAATCTGGAGATCACACCTCTCTATCTTCTGCAAGCGCCAGGTGCTCGGTCGCACAGGGCTGCTCTGTAGTAAAATGTTCTTGCATGTAAGCATCTCTATGAGCAAGCAATGAACCAGGATAGGACATACATACTTGTGCCACCCCTCTCCTTAAACAATTACGTCAGCACAAACCCCAAATAGCAAAAGAATGCAAAAGATGTTCGTGCGCTGCGCCCTGCAGCGGCACCAGCACCCAGGCCCCAAAGCGGACACTGCCATAAACATCTAGCAGTGGCACCCTGCAGCGGCACTCTGCACCAGCACCAGCACCCAGTCTCCAAAGCACACATTGCCATGGACATCGGGTATGTCCACCTGCCACAGCACCCTCCAGTGGCACCGCCCAAGCTCCAAAGCGCTCACAGGCACATCTACCTAAACTTCAGGTAAAATAACAGTAGCTCTTGCTATCTGGGAAAATATGTTTTGTTTTGGTAAATTATCTGAATGGGTTGCATGACCGCACTTGCGCAACTCAGATCCAGTCTGGATCAAATGCCAGCTGTGGCCACGAAGAGTCCCGTAGCCGTGATGGTGGCGCCTGTGGTCACAGATCACCAGTTAAAACCAAGGATTGATAAAACACAAAGTCCTTTACTAAACGACTTTACGTTTGTTTCCCTAAAAATCTATGAACCAAATCACTACTGTAGTGCGAGCGAGGAAGCTCCCCCCTGCCCTCAAAGGAAGCTCCCCCCCGCCCTCAGGCGGACAAAGCTGCCTTGAAGAAGGGTGAGCGTCCAGTAGGTAGTGTACTAGTAGTTAGTAGCTACCTCTTCGGCCTACCTCCCACCGCGGGCCCAGAAAAAGTAGCTAACATTATAATAATGTTCAATAACCGTAATAATGAACAACTGATTATATATATAGGCTATTCAGTTGACGTTGGGTGTCTTGGGCACACCAAGCTAAAAGCTCTATGCAAAGTCTGGAGGATGGGGATGTCTGGAGGAGGGATACTTGGCTTGTTTCAGCGAATCCAGCTTTGCCCGTAAAATGCGTCAGAAAAAACACTGATGTCCTGGTGTGTTTATCTCAGAGCTGTGGGAAGTCATCTAGTCGAAGTGTGTTGGCTTGTTGTCGATGTTTGCCCTGAAATTTGCTAGGAGCCGCACCAAGCCAGCGAGTGGTTTCGGTCTGCGTCTGGTCATCCAAATCGGCATAAACTCACCATCCTGATGATTGAGAACAGTTGCAGGATGTTGCAGGGTAGCGCCTACGGTAGTTGCGGCACAAAAGTGCTGAAACTTTGAGTGTCTTGCCGTTAGCCACATCCGTTGCCTCTTGGGCACCTCTTCATCCTCGCAAATATGATGAAAACATAATGAAAACTGGCCTCTCGCAGCCTCTCGCCAACTCTTCCGTTTCCGATCCTCATCTATTGGAGCCAAAGCCGGACGAGCTTGCATGGAAGGAGCATGCATGGGCCAAACAGCAGGAAGGTTTGGCCTCAGTAACAACAGTCGGGGTCATTCCCCATGTCCATGTCCAAGCACTTTCAACAGCTGAGAAATCGTCAACATTGGCCTCCCTGTTCGAAAATCAGCCTGTGCTTGCAAATGGCTGATTGGAAAATCCGCAGGACTGTGGTCCAGATTACGCCTACTTGCGGTTCATCTTGCCGCGCACTTCAAGTGGTGTCTTTTTTGAAAATACACCATCTTCTCATCGCCCCCACTCCACATGAAGCAAAAGTGTTCATGACCACACTGGCTAGAAAGGTCAGAGACGGAAGGCCTCAATGCAAAGGCTTGCCGAGAAAGACCATGGGTTCCGTGACCTGAATTGCAACGCGTGTCGCAGCAACTGCAGCCCAAAAGCGTCAGTCAATCTGTAGCTCTTTCAACTCTTCTTTTTGCCGACCTCCTCCCTCCCTACTTAGTCAAGCAGGCGCCTTTAAGTACGGGAGTAGTTCGCTACTAGACTAAGTTAATCTAAGTTAGCTATTACACACTGGACACAGGATAGCTCACGCTTCTTCTTGGTTCCTAGATCTTAGGGAAACTTCGCAGTTCAGACTTAGGCCCTTGCAAGCCTGTGTCCAAGTCACGTTCTCTCAAGACGGACAACGCCTGCCCAAATGCCATCCAAGCACTCAACGCGTTGTGGTCCCATCGCACAAAACCTGTCTATCCTTTGTCTCGTGAGAACGCCGCGGAGCTGCTAGCTCGATGGAGCTACGACAACTTGCATTGGCTCTTTAAACTTTAGACCTTTACACTTGTCTTTGAGTATGCAAATCCTTTGCTCCTCGTGCATTTGTCCACAACAATCATTGTGATGCCGGATGCTGATGCTGATGACGCTTCACGAAGATAAATATGGCCAACTGAACTGAATCCTGAAATACACGAGGCCCAAACATTCTGTAAACACATGGTCCATGTGCCATGGACGCTACTCAAATCAACCGTTCTGCAGTGACGATATAGGTTTGTCGAGGCTTCTTGTCCGCTCACATAAATGGGCGAACTTGATACTCCCCGGATACACCAACTAACTAGCAAGGCCTGCATGAGCAATTCCACAGGTAGGTGCGCCAAGAAAAAGCGAAGCCCATGCTCACCTGAGAAAACAAACCATCAAAGCATGAAAACCCTAGCCAACACGTCCCTTCAAGCATGAATGTTGTTCAAACGACCTGCAAGTCTATTGTGGCAACATGACATGTTTGACTGGGTCACCAACTACGTCGTTCCTCGATCATCTTCAGCACCCTCCTCAGCGACCAGCCTGGGAGATCCAAGACAAGAGCAACCAAGGCATCCAAAAAGAGTGGTGAAATTCACCTAGTAGCTTCTTGTTACTAGTAGTACGGCCAGAGCCCCTAGTAGCGTCCTTGCTCCTAGTAGCGATGCCAGGAGCCCCTAGCAGTACCCAAAAAGAGTGGTGAAGACTTCGTGGCAGTTCGTGGACTCTGGTGTTTTTGCTTGGCCCTGGCCTGAGCCGCCCTGCGGTTCCATCAAAGATTCCTGTCGGCTCAGCGCTGTAAAGTGTGAACAAAACAAAGAAGGTCCCTCCCTTTGTCGGCTCAGCGCACCAAAGGGAGGAAGGACAGTCCGATCCGAATGGCACCAAACATGTCCCGGCAATCCTGACGGGTAGCCAGTCTGACAGTCTGACATCTATCTCAGTTCTCCCAGCCCAAAATTCCTAGTGGCCTCCGTCAAGTGATGAAACAAAACTTCCAAGTCATCTGGCTGAAGTGCATGGACACCTGTCCAAAAGCAGTGAGAAGAAGAGCCACAAAGGAGAGAGGACGGCACCTATACCCAACCGCGGAATCAATTGAACGAAAGCAGCAGGACCTTGGTAGAAGAGCAGAATGTGTTCAGGGATTCTTGCTGTAAAGTGACGAACCCTATCATTCAAACCTGCTTCCTCAATCGTGCCGGAATAGATGGTAGATGGAGAAGCAAAACATACTGCAATGAAGCTACACAGCATCTGTGGCCTGCTCAATGCAACAAAACAAGGAACAAGGATCACAAAACAACAGAAATGCATAATTTCAAGAAGTTGGTTTAAGCATGGAAACATATTAGGTGCCTGCCAATACTCAACAAACGAACAATCCCTTGCACTCAAATAGAGAGAGAGAGAGAGAAAAAAACAAACCCAACAGTTGCAATGCAAGCCCCTTTCTAGCAACTACTGATAGTGTTGCCAATATCACTTTATATTAGCCTCGAATAGTAAAGATATATATGTAAAAATGCTGTTGTGGAGTTGGATCTTGACTTGTCCATGTGTTTGATTGGAAGTTGGAAGTTGTGCTTCTTTTCAAGTGGCATCGTAAGCGCTCTGTGCAAGGGAACAGTTACCCTTCAACTTCAAATCTGCTGCATGTGTTGATACGAGTTTCCAAGGTCCCTTAACGTCGTTGTAGACCAATCAACACGTTTCCATAAAATTACTTTTGCTGAATCTAGTTGTACTTGCTGCGGGTCAGCCTTGATTGCAGAACAAAGTCTGCCTCCAGCAAGAACCAGGCATGGCACCAATACAACGCCAGCTTCAATTTTGACGTTTTTCATGGGGCCAAAAAGTGTCGCACGGGAGCGATATGAGGAGCCCCAGTGGTTTGCAAAAGCTAGCAAGTAAGTTGCGGCATGATAGTGGGTGCCAGAGAATCAGAATGGGAGCTATGCACATTGGATCAGGCAGTCAACGACATCTGGTAGTGGCAACGCAGGGCTTGATCACCAATAACAGCTGTTTGAAAAAAGAAACATGGTGGCAGGGCTGGGCTTGAGTGCGAGCGACAGCGACCAGCAAAACAAGGTGGTGACAGTGAAAGCCTTTAGTGCAAACACCAGCTACCAGGAATACAAGGCTCACAGCGGACTCTGAGGAGTGGAAAAAAGAAAATGGTGTTAACATTCTTGGAGATTCCATCGCTACAGTAGTACAAGTAGGTGGAGGCCATCGCTAGTTGGAGGACGTTAGGCGTGTGCGGAACGAGATTACATCCCATTTGCCTTGTTGCATTGGATGCCTACAGTCTAGACCGGGCAGCTGTTCCCTCAAAAGCACGTGAAAGGCGTAAGCAATAAAATCTGCTGAAGGTGGGTGCAGCGGAAATTGGTCGTGCTGCATTCTGAAGGGTATGCCTTTTTATCAGTGTCGCTTGCCTCAAGTTGGTATGGTTGCAGTGCGTTACGGTTGCAGTTGTCCTCAAGCTCGCACAAGCATAACAACTGGAATACGATCATATCTCAGACTGTCAAATCTTAGTACTGTCAGAAACCCGTTGGATTTGGGGCGGTGATTGATTTGTTTGGCCGAACGAATCGTAGGTTTCGGCTGAACATCAAAGCTGCTGGCTGAATCTAGGAGCAAAACCTACCACCTCAAGCAGCTTAGTCGCACTGATACGGCTAAAGGATTCCTGGTGCAGAAGCACCCACTCCTGCGCACACAAACACATGCAAACACCAATTATTCCACATAATAGCTTTTTTACACATTGTTTTACATTGTTCAGGTGGCTTCAGAGGCTTTCCTCGATGATGTCGACTACCCAATTCTTTAATAGCTGTCGCTTCGACGTCTTCATGACTGGAGAGATAGACCTGACACTGCCATTCCGCGGCTTTGCAAACACTCAATGCGCTCTCATTTCAGCCAGGCAGACCTCAATGTGCTTTCATTTAGGACACCGAAAATACATTCAGCACCTGCAATCTCATCGAGGAGCTATACAAGTTTGTGACGTAGACTTTGACTCCAAAGTTAGAAACAAAAGGAACCTTCATGGACATGATGGACTTCGAACAGGTTGGAGCAGGCAGTGAAAAGATCTTGCCGGAAGTCTTCCTCTCAGGGCAATGCCATCAGCAATCTTTTGCAATGCTGCTTCTGGTTGTTCTAGGCATGTTTGTGAATCTTAATATACAGTAAAGAGAGAGAGAGAGAGAGATAGAGAGAGAGAGAGATGGACCTTAAGAATGTATACTGGTATACTGTATCACGCAGGATGACCTGACTGTCTTCTGTAATGTGTAAACGTCCGTCCTGTCTCCGAATGTACTCTTGCCAGTCAGTACAATCCAAAGCTGCCAAAGCTCCTGAAATTCAATTTGTCAACTTATTTTCAGCATTGTCGGTGACCTCTTCAAACTAAAAATGCAAGAAGGAAAAAGGCAACTCGGGCCAATGTAATAATGCAATCATGAGACCATGCTAAGCCTAGCACTGTATATGATGTTCGCAGCCAAATCATTGATGGCCTTGTGTGAGAAGACTGACTGCCTGTGAATTGCATGTAAAACAGAGAAACTGTCAGGGCCAAGTGCCATGCGCGGCGAGCACAAAGGTCGATGGCAATCTCCCAAATCCTCTGTGAGGCCTAGCACGAACCAGTCAAAAAATTACTGTACAAAGTCATGATTGCAGTTTCTTAGCATCTCACGTGAATTGTAAAGACAGCTTTGTGCGGAGACACCTCATGTGCGTTCTTCAATGCATCAGAATATTGAACTGAAGGTGCTTGTTACAGAGCCTCTGGTGCAGCATGTCTAATGATGGCCGCATGCTGCCGCAGCCTCAAATCCAAGTATCAGCTGCCCAGTATCCAAAAACCTTCATATGACTGGAGAGGGCCCGGCGCAGGTGGCAAATCACTTGGGAATTCAGATTTCCACAAATGTCGCCTGTACCTGCAGCGTAAGGACGAAAAAACTCGAAGAAGTTTGCAAGCACGCACTCCGCAAGCATTTTGCTGCTTCGTATGAAGTTCATGATGAAGTTCATACAGCGTACCACCGAGTGCTGGCAGCAAAGCCTGCACACAGGTGCAATGCTGTGTTTGCGTGATGGCGGCTCAGTGAATCCTTTTTGCACAGCGGCAGTGATAAGGAAGGACGAAAAGGATACTGTACAAACATGCACAAACAAAAAACAAGAAACTATCTATATATATATATATATACGTTCGAGAGACCTATCGTTCCGGCACACTTTTTCTTTGAGTGCACAGCCCATGCCCTTTGAGTAACAAAGGCTTGCATGCCCCAACTCCAAGCCCGAGCCTAAAACTTTGTAAAAGCCCGGGCTGGTCGGGGGATGGGATGGTGGGAGCCGACAATCTTCACACGGTCACTCTTTCGCATATGTCTGCTACAGCAGAATTCATGCTTTCGAGGGACCTATCGTTCCGGCACACGCTTTCTTTGAGTGCACAGCCCGTGCCCTTTGAGTAACAAAGGCTTGCGTGCCCCAACTCTAAACCCGAGCCTAAAACTTTGTAAAGGCCTTACCTTCCACGCGCCCCTAACTGGCTCAGGTGGGGTCAAAGAAAGACTTAACACCCGCGGACACCGCCGCACGCGAAGCAGAAGGCAACGAAAGTTGAAGGAGGGCTTGCAAGCCAACATCGATACGGACCTTGGACACTGATTGCCATCGGCCCTTTGCGACTAGGGCGTCGAATGTTGTCCGTTACGGTAAGCTGCAGTAGCTCCGCCGCGCCGGAAGGAATACGGAGCAAAGTGCATATCTGCCAACTGCAGCGACTGAACAAGGGCGTGCCAGGTTTGCGTAAAATGGTAGCGGCTACCATCCCAAAAAGGTCTACCGCGCTGAGCAAGACGCATAAAGACCCAGGGTGGGGACAATGCCATATATTCAACAAACTCAAACATGCTCTAATGGCAAGAATTTCTTCTTGGGCAGAATCACGACCAAGAGCGACGTCAACATATTGTAACGACAAAGCTCATCAGCCCAAAGAAACGCAGGAAAGGCAACCACCAAGAGATGACCAAAATTCCTGCGGCCCCAGCGCACACCTTTCCAGCAAAAGCTAAACACTGGGTCAAGCGAGACGCACGACCCGCCAGCTTGAAAGCAGGGCAAACTCCTTAAAAGGAATTTGACGAGAAGGGTTCGTACTCGACCCAAAAGCAATCCACCAAGAAAGCTAGCTTATTCCGCAACTGGCCGAAACCACAGGCAAGAACAAGGACCTGGGCTCCTTAAAAGGAGCCACGCAGGACAGGTTCGTACTCGACCTGTCCAACCACTCCCTCAGGGAGCGCCATGAACTTTACTTGGGGTTAGGACTGAATTACACCACCGTAGACCCCAAACGACAGTTTGTGTTTTTCAAAATCGAAATTAGAGCTTGTGACGTCCAGAGCTGGGAGACAAAGGATTGCAAGGCAGAGGCGGCCACAGCAGCCCAGAGCTGGGAGACACATGTAAAGGATTGCAAGGCAGAGACGGCCACAGCAGTACAGAGCGGGCGGACACATCTTAAGAAAGAATTGAGAAGCCGAGGAGCGAAAGCGAAGGATGTGACATGAAATTGATTTTTGGTGCCTGACGTATGCCCTCCGTCCCAACTGAACAGAGAGATCGCTGCCACGCCGCCGAAATCCAATCCGGTCATTCATCCAACGCTTGCCCAAAAAGGAAAACAAAGCTGAGAGAGTTACACAGTGTGGCAGGAATGCAATCCCGGACATGCACCCCTTACAAAGGAGCAAGAACCTTTCACAGGTGAACCTGTTCCTGTGAACAGGGCAGAAAACAGCAGCGCAGGCACCAAACCTGAAAGACCAAAAGAAAGAACTCGCACGAGAAACAAATGAATAGAAATGCTACATGGCCAGCGGAAAAGGGCGGCAGCGCCAGTGACAGACCCGGGAAACACATGAATAGAAATGCTGCATGGCCAGCGGAAAAGGGCGGACATCAGCAGTGACAGACCTGGAAAACAAATGAATGTAGTTGCATCGCCAGCGGAAAATTGCGGACACCAACAGTGACAGACCTGGGAGACAAATGAATAGAAATGCCGCATTGCCTGCAGAAAAGGGCGGGCACCAGCCGTGACAGACCTGGGAAACAAATGAATAGAAATGCTACATGGCCAACGGAAAAGGGCGGACACCAGCAGTAACGGACCTGGGAAACACATGAGTACAAATCCTTCATGGCCAACGCAAAAAGGCGGACACCACCAGTGACAGACCTGAAAAACACATGAATAGAAACGCTAAAGGCGCCAGCAGTGACAGACCTGGGAGACAAAAGAATAGAAATGCCACGTGGCCAGCGGAAAAGGGCGGACACCACCAGTGACAGGCCTGGGAGACACATGAATAGAAATGCTGCATGGCCAACGGACAAGGGTGGACACCAGCAGTGACAGACCTGGCTGCCGAAATCCAATCCGGTCATTCATCCAACGCTTGCCCAAAAAGGAAAACAAAGCTGAGAGAGTTACACAGTGTGGCAGGAACGCAATCCCGGACATGCACCCCTTACAAAGGAGCAACAACCTTTCACTGGTGAACCTGTTCCTGTGAACAGGGCAGAAAACAGCAGCGCAGGCACCAAACCACATGAGAGACAAATGAATAGAAATGCTACATGGCCAGCGGAAAAGGGCGGCAGCACCAGCGACAGACCCGGGAAACAAATGAATAGAAATGCTGCATGGCCAGCGGAAAAGGGCGGACACCAGCAGTGACAGACCTGGGAAACAAACGAATATAGTTGCATCGCCAGCGGAAAAGGGCGGACACCAACAGTGACAGATCTGGGAGACAAATGAATAGAAATGCCGACACATCTTGAGAAAGAATTGAGAACCCCTAACAATAAACTGTTTGGGGAAAAACTGGATAGCCGCCAACGCCTTTAATCCACTGTACTCGATATACTCAGCAACTTGGTCATCAAAATCCTCAAAAGAAACAATAGCAAAGGACTCATCAAGGGAATAACATTTCCTGAATTCATCAAGGCTTGACTATATCTATTGTCAGTACTTTGTGAAACGACTTGATTTCGCAGCTTCTCGATCGTTTTCCTCCCTTCTCGGCATTTCTCGTCCGGAGTCGCATTTCTCACCTGCTGTTTCCTCCTAGGCATGGTTTCGACGGCTGGTTTCATCAGCTGGGTTGCCATCACTCTCTATCCAACCCAGCACCGGCCAAACTCCACCTGCTAGCTGCAAAGGACCATACTTGTGAAGGAGAGGAACTGCGGCCTTTCACGGCAACTGCCAAGACCACACTGGCTGTCCACTAAGTGGAGAGCCCTGCAACTGCCAAAGCATGAGCTGCGTAAATAAAACGCCATGCCAGTGTAGGAATCATTCAAGATGTTGATGTGCTCGGGCAGGATGAACGCGTAAGATTGACCAACGTGCCATTGCCGTTTCGCCGGATTGATACTTCCTCTGGGGAAGCTGTCAGGGCGGTACAAAGTGCCAAGGCCCAGCCGGACATTGGACCCTCCAAATTCTTGTCTGCGAACGTAGGCTGGTACTCAGCTTCATGTCCTGTTCATGCAGCTGGTAACCTCGTGTTTTGGTGGTCCAAAGTCGACTTTTCGTGACAGGTGCAAGGGATCGGAGCGGTTTTACTTCAAGGTGCAGATTTCGTGGCAGGTGCAGCACTTTGGAAAGGGCGGTGATCGTCGAGGAGCTCAGATTTCGTGACATGCGCAGTGAATCGTGACTTTTGGACTTTTGGACATGTGGCTCGTTTGCAGATTTCGTGGCAGGCACAGCACTCTGTGACCCTCGATGCGCAGATTTCGTGGCAGGCACCGCACTTTGTGAACCTCGAAGTGCAGATTTCGTGGCAGGCACAGCACTTTGTGAACCTCGAAGCGCAGATTTCTTGGCAATGTGGTGGTTGATCAATATTCTTTCATCCTGGAATGGCCATTCTTCGCGGACAAAAAGACATCTTTCGCGGATCTTTCGCGGCCTCATCGCGAAGCATGGTCCTACAACCATGTCTAGCTAACATGAGCCCGAACATGTCATAGTATCACAAAATAGGGACAGACATCTTGCAGCATGACCCCAGTAGAAGGTTGAACGTTTCCAGCTACTCAGGGTCACTTGCAGCATCTGCGCGACAGTTGTGTCAAATGGAATCAGGCACAACTCAACCCAATCATCGTGCCAGCTCCAACACAGGGTGACGCAGCTTGGGGAATGTTGGGGGGGCCTCAAGCTGGGAACCCAGACTTTAGCGGCACATTCGCGAAATTTCACTGGTGCTTTCCCCGGGAGGCCGTAACATGTCCAACCATCTGCACAGCCCGTCCGAGCAGCTGCAGGTCGTTGCCTCACTGTCAGGGCTGTGCCTACTCAGGTTGCTAATCTGTGACAGTGGGGACAGGGATCGGAGAATCCTTTACGCAGTGCCAGGGCTGGGCACGGAAATGTTCTTTGTCAGCCCGGTAGAAAGGAAAACATATGAAAGCGATGACCTTCAATAAATCGTTCGCGGAAAACAAAAGATACTTGCGCGAACTGCATCGCGAATCTTTCGCGGATGGTTCTAACAACATCTGAAAGGCTGTTTTCTATAAAACTCCTTACACGGGGTTTTCGATCAACTCCCATGTATGTCTGTATGCTTGGATGGATGTCTATGTCTGTATGTGTGTGTGTGTGTCTGTTTTCCCTTGCGGGCGGCTTCGACCGCGAAGCGGTGTGAATATTCACAGTGATCCACATCACAATATCACAACACTCCGACACTGTTTGCTGAAACTTCCGCCCACTAGCTGGCTCTGCTGGAGTGCGGAGTCTGCTTCAAAACTAGTTCAAACATAGCACCAGGGCCTGCAACATAATCTTAGTATTTGCTGAAAGTCTGAATCGGGATTGGTTTGGGATGGTTTAGGGGCATGGGGGCATGGTGATAGCTTTGAGTGTGCGGGTGTCCACGTCTCTCTCTCCCTCCCTTCCTCCCTCCCCTCCTTTTGCAAGTCTCAAATGAGATGCATCTTCACGTGTTTGCGGAGCCTGAGGGGCCTTATTCGCTATTAACTATGACTATTGCTATTACTGCATTCCAATCAATGGCAGATAGCGGAGCTAGACTAGAACCAGGACTGAAAGCTGATGCATGCAGAAAAGTCACTGAAGTAAAGAGTCGCATTTCCAAATGAGCGACGGTCAAAATTTGTTGTGGAGTTGCAGGCCATCAGGATTTGGTGAGTGTATTATCGTTTTTCACAACCGCCACATTATCGTTTTTGGTGAGTGTTTTATCGTTTTTTGAGCAAAACATGCATTTTGAACTCCCATGCCCACTCACTGACTATTCAACGGATACGGGATACACCCTTGACTGCCCAGGGTTCAAAGCAAAACAGATCGATTAGTGCCCAAGACATGCTCTTTGCATCCTGCCTGGACAGCGTAAACTCTCCAGGGCACAAGTGGGTCTGACCAGCAGCGACGGTCTTGCACACCTGTGCATTGTCCATGGTCGCTGGGTTCATGCCCAGCATTGCCGGCTGTTCTTATTAAGGGGCGCCATGAACGAAAGCCAATTGTGCGGTGTCATTGCTGCACTGTCTTGGGTTGGCATGTCTGTCTAGGGCAATGCATTCCATTCCATCACATCTCCAAATGTAATACAAGCGAAGGTAGGTGTGTCATCATGTGTCTATGTCAGCTGCATGTTCATGCAAATCCGCATTTGCGAGCTTTGGCTGATTCACCAACAAGCTGTACAAGCTTCTGGTATGCAGCTGATCTGAAATTGCTGCGAAATGAGAGACGTTCTCAAACCTCAATCTACAAGAGATCACAGCTCAAACTCTTCAGAGTGTTCCCAACTGCCTTGCCAACGAGCTGAATGGGAAATATCAACAATTAGAAGGAAGAGTTGTGACATGGAAACTCTCGAGATTGAGCTGCTTCGAAGCTGTTTAACACCACTGGAACAAACACATACCACATACCGCTTTGTATCAGCAAATATGTACAAGATCTGCAGCGGTGCTGTTCCGCAGGATCCTTTCCCAACAATATGTCTATGTACAAGACTTCATGCTGCTCAGAGCAGCGTACAGCCAGGACGAGCCTCATCAAGTCTTCCCCACTGGAAAATGATTTCTAGGAAGACTTGAACAAGTGGCAACTCGCAAGATTCTGTGCTTTATTGAATTTAAATCCTTTAACTGGTCTGCGAAGTCCCTGACCTGCGTTCCAGCATCTTAATTCATGTTGTGTGTTTTGAAAGATATAGATCTTGATGTTGCAGTAACAATGCATTGTCTCCACCACTTGCCTTTGGAGAAGTGGGGCTTGAGTCGAAAGACACTCCCCGGCTCCCAGCAAGAAAAAAGGGTTAATCTTAGGTAGAGTTGCGTTTTGCTGAATGAAGTTTGGCATTGGACAAAATAACAAAAAATAGGAAAACACTAGTGACAATAATAAGTAAGACCAAAATTAGGAAACCAAACAGGATAAAAATAGTACAAAAAATTGGAAACAAATAGGACACACAAATCTGGAAAACACAAATCAAATAGCCGGGCAAGAAGAAACACGATACGGATACCGCAATAAGGATCACAAGCACACAGACCCAAATATCAAGAGGTAAGGCTGACTAAAGAATCAATATTGCTGAAGGAAGGGTGGTTGAGGGAGGGGTGACGGTCGGGGAGGCTGGGGGGTGGTCAGGATAGGGGTCAAGCGGCCTAGTTTTGCAGTGTTTGGAAAGGCAAGCTTTCCTAATGTGTATAATTTTTTTTGATCACACCCAGTGGAAGCTTAACTTCCTCAACACAAAGGTAGAGGAAAGGAGAAGGAAAAGCAACACATTCCCCCATTTTTAGTTACAGTATATAGAAGTGAATGGAAGGATGGGAAGAGGATCATGCCCCTGCGTAATAGAAAGGATTTTAGTGGGGAAGGTGACTGGAGGGGAAGTGCAGAACCAATAACTGAAGCAAACCGTGCAGTAAGGGAGGATGATGTGTTCCTGACATGCATCTTTCTTGCCTGTATAATGTTGTTTCTGGTGTCCTTTCTTTCTGCATCATTCCGATTCCGTTCATACATGGAGCATTGGGTAGGAGAGTGAGCAGGGGAAGGAGGTTACAGGCAAAACAAGAAAAAACAAAAGAAGAAAGGTGAAAGAATTGAGGCCGAGGTGTTGACTGCCAGATACTGCGCCATCTACTATCGACTATCTACAAGAATTCAAGTTGGGGGTTGTGTGGACAAGGATTGCAAATGGAGTGGTTCATGAAGTCAGTGACTTGCGCCTCACTATCTTGCGCAGGAGAAGTGTCGAGGTGAAAGAAAACAAGAAGCCGTTGCTTTTCTTCTGAACACTCCTGCACAGGCTGTCCCTGCAGTTGCATAAAATCCTTTGCGACCTCATTCAACTCTTGGCTCAATTCTGCGTACGCGTCCCTAATTCTTCTCCTCCTACCCTTCCTCCCTCTACAGTAGCATGTGCCTGTGGTGACTTTGGCGGAGTGTCGAAAGAAGTTCCAGCTACCTACCAAGACTTGCCAAGAGACTCGACAAGGTATAACATAAAGCTTGCGACAACGTTGTGGGCCCGGGAACTCTGTGGCTCTTGAGAAGACCTGCCTCCTCAGAACTCTTTTGTGGATCTGCGTCTTCATTTTGTGCAGTAGGACTGGCAGGACAAAAGCTCGAATCGCAACTCATGATGTGCAGTCTTTGGCCTCCCGATGGGCTCTGCCTGAAGAGATAAAAGAAAAAATTACCACGTACTGTATATAACCTGCAACTGTTCCTGCCTTCAGTTCTCCTTTTCGGAAGGCTGCCACAAAGTTCCGGATGGCGGTACCATCAAGATCCTCCTGGACGGTCATACTTTGCAATAAAAGCATTGTGAGGAATGTGTGTGTGTGTGTGTCTGCGTGTTTGCATTGCATTAGGTTCTCACTGTTCAGTGCTCATCTTTGGCTTCTTACAACGAATGTTGGAGTGAGAGCCGGTTACAGTGGCCTTGGAGTCCAAACGATAGCGCTTCTCCGCATCCACATCAAGGATCACCAGTGAAGGACTTGACATGGCTCCACTCATTTCCCGGACCTGCAAGCTACAACACTGCATCTCCCTTAGTTTCCAGGTCAAGGAGAATGCACGGCGTCCACAGTATTCAGATGTATTCAGCATCCTGCCTGGGGCACAGCTCCAGAAGACTGCACAGCTATAAAGAATATGATCGGCGGCACCTCAAGTTCTCAAGATTCTCAAGTACAGTAAGGTCCAAAATTGTACCGTCTGATTTGGACATCCTCAAGTTGCAGCAACAAAAGCAAGAAGCTCTTGTCTTCAGCCCGCAATACTCTTCAAAGGCTGCTTTAAAACATCCCGAAGCTGCCTGCCCCTCAACACATCCAACGTCTTTGTGAACCTGACGCTGCAAAGCTTTGCTCTTCCTAGAAAAGCAAACAGAAACCTGCTGCATGCTCGAACCTCGCTGGCTATCTGCAAAAGGATCTGAAACAACTCGCTTTGCCTGCCATTTGTTCATTTTCAGAGTACAAATCTTCTCCGGTGAACAGCTGCTCTCCTGGGGGGTGGCAATCCCTCCATAAAAAGGCAAACGCTTGGAACCTTACGAAACGGTTCCAGCACAATCAAGCATTCAAAGAGACTTGTCTTCTCAATGGAGGCAGCAACGGAATTGATCTCTTCAATGGGGCGGGCCAAATCCAGCCTGGTTTCCAAAGGGGCAATTTGTTGCTACTGCTCTGCTTCAGAAGAACTGAGTTGCGGCACACTGGTCTCTGGTACATGTCCAGTCTTCTCTCTACCACCTCCATGATCACACCTCGGGACAGTGCCTGCGCGAAGCTGGTCAAAAAGGTCAAGAAGGAACAAACCAAATGAACACCAAAAGTCGAAACAATGCAGTCGTGAGACAATTCGCGAATCGTATGGTTCGCGGTTGGCTTGTTTCTACACATGCCGTCTGTGCCTCTGCCTTCGTTGGCTTTGGAAGGTACTTGGTGTAGTCGCGGTCGTGCGTATATGACAAACATCTGCACCAGGCAAGTGCATACCAAAGCAAGCAAAAACTACGGTACAGACAGGCCAACATATATTTAAGAATTTAACAATGCAACCAGTTTCTGAAAGACGAAGACCCAGTGTCTAATTTAGTGTGGTGTCAAAGAAGCAAAGAAGCTGGAGAAGAGTACAGAACAGATTTAACGTGCTACAGCGAGCGCGTTCTGAATAGGAACTCACTGTGTCAAGATCTGACGGAGCTCAGGACTGGTTTTCTGTCCGAACAATGCAATAGCAAATAAAAATACAAGGTTATACCGTCAGGCAGTGTTTTCTAAAGAATTTGAGCCACACAGAATGAATGCTCAACAAAGTCAGACTAAGCATCTGAGACCTTCAAATGAGAGATATGTCAGTGGCCTAGCAAATTCTTCATCAGTCCTCCCTGTCTCTGTCGAGAAGAGAAAAGGCATGGAGAAAGCAAGTAGGGTATAGTAAGTATAGTAGGGTCAGGCTTTAAAAGTGGAGCCCAGAGTTTTGGGTATGCAAAGAAGTGTGAGAGCAGCAAAAAAAGAAGAGTATGCAAGCTGCCTAGGGCCTGCAACTCATCCAACGAATGTGGTGTCTGACATATAACATGCCAAGAGAAGCCGTGAAAGGCAAAAATAGCAAAGCAAACATTAGAAACACAGTGGAAGTGGAAAGAGAATGCCTTCCTGAAGCTGCAAGCAATGAAATAAAGGACAAAAAGGCACTTCAAGCAGTGCTGCAACGTACAGACTGTAGAAGCACAAGCAAAATCTCCAATTGACCTCCTCTCAGAAGTTGTGCTGAGAATCTGTATGCCCTTGAACTAAAAGGAAATGGAGTGTGGGTTCTTACCTTTTCGGGTTCCTATCAGATCCTAGCGCATCAGCAGCCAGAGTTTTGAATGCCCAAGCATCGGACATTGGGTCTGGAGTCTCGGCATGGGAGCTCCGAAGCCTATGAAGGCGATAGGCCTGCCGAGGACACTGCTCCTAGTAGCGATGCCCTTGTTCCTAGTAGAGTCCTTGCTCCTAGTAGTAAGGCCAGGAGCCCCAGTAGCGTCCTTGCTCCTAGTAGGCGATAGGCCTGCCGGGGGCCGAGGACACTGTTCAATTCTGCCGAGACAGCGCTGGAGACATTCAAATCCTGCTGGTTCCAACCAAACATTAAAAAAGAACATAAAACCTTTCAGTATGTAGAGTCGGGTGCCTCTGAATTTCGGTAGGTCTCACTGACCGACCATAAAATAAAGTTGACTCGCTCCCCAGACTGAATGTTGTCCGCACCTCGATCTCACATGTTCAACCGATTTATATATTCGAACTATTGAAGGAAAATAAACAAAAACAAAACAACGAAGCTTGACAGGACAGAATTGCTATAAGTGCCAGTCCATGGCGGTGCCGACCTGATAGCAGTGCATGGAAACACGGAAAGTTGTTTTCAACTGGATGCTGGATGCTGCCTAAGTGTATCACAGCACGGCCCTGACATCATGCAAAAGTGTTTTTTTGCATCGGATACATTCGACAAATCAGATCACCTTTAAGCAGCAACCCTAGGAGACTAGGAGTATAGCTTATCTCCGGCCTTCTCGTGCTTGTAGGTATACTGCATCTTTCGGTGATTGTCGTCGGTGACCAAGCCACAAAATGATAGAGTGGCGCCCTCGAAGTCCTTGGCATCATGCAACCTGGAAGTCTACAAAGTTTGTCCATCGGCTTGTAAGCCCGCCTTTCCCAAACACGCGTTGAGTGTGACATCTGAATCATCCTGCCAAACCCAGCATCAAGTCTCAAAAGTCGGTGCCTGTGTTAGTCAGCTTTAACATTGAATTGCTCAAAGCTTCGAAAAGCAGGAACACGGACCACCATGGGTGCATTGTCTAAAAAGTATTGTCTAAAGAGTGTCTCATGATTGCATTTATCCTCGTGCATGTCCAGACCAATGTCTTCGTCAGCTTTGTACCTTCACGAAGGCTCGTGCTCCACAGGTCTACCCATCTTTGGACTCTCCGTGTTGTCTATTCTGTGTGTTTCCTTTTTGTTTAGCCGGTAGAGACTAGGTAGCTACTAGGTACAGGAAGCTACTACATATGGATGCAGGATAGCTCACACTCGCACTAATGATTTGGTTCCTAGATTGTTTGGGAAACTTAACCTTGATGTATGTGTGCAAAAGAACCAGCTCTCACCAGTCCTGACGATGAAAGTATGATGATCTTGACATTCTTGAGACTCTAATGGAAAAAGGGATGCCATGAGTGGCATCAAGTATTCCTGCAAGAGCAAAGAGCCAATGCAACGTACAAGGCTCAGTCTTTCAAATTCTCTCAGTGTCCTGTTGAATGACTGTGATCAAGGGTTCCAGACCTCAAATGAAACTACTTCGGATCTTAGCGCTGGCCCCACATAGCACGTCCTAAGGTGGTGGCCGAGCTGGTTGAGCACCACCCCATATCTGTTCATGCCATTGGGTCGATCAAGAGCCTTTCCGATGCACAGAACAAAGAAACCCAAAACCCAGATCCAAAAGCCAAAAGTGGTCAAACGTTGAAGTGAGGAGTTTCCACGTTCCAGCTGAAAGGATCCTTCTGTGACTTCAAAGCAACATTCACCTGACTTAAACTCTGGTTTCCAGTGTTGCCATACAGTACCAAGTCGCTGCCAAACAAGCTGCGACCAAGAGTGGGGGAGAGGACAGTCTCTTCACTTGCCTCCCTTGCCGATGACATAAGCATCGAAGCAAGAAGTGCTAGTTCAAGAAGCTGTCTCGTTCATGCTAGTACTGGGATGTATCGCATATTTGTCCAGAAACGTGGGGAGTGCAAACTGTTTTTCAAGCAACACACGAGAGGCAGTTCTCCCTGAACTTCAAAAAAAAATGGAGGTGCTATGAGAGGGGCGTGCACATGTTCAGTTTAGACTCAAACTGAATATGTTGTCAAAGAAACTCTATCCATCTATGAGTCATGCCCTTTAAGCATAGTCAACTCCGGTCAGTAGGCAGGAACCGCACTGCTTACTGCACCCGGATAAGCTAAAAGGTGCTCGGAGTGCACCAAGTTTGAATTTCAATGATCAAGATGACACATGGAATTGGCTAAACACCAAGGTACCAAGAATCCGGATTGCGGCAATCGTTTATACATTAAGGCCCGTTGCTAACTAAACATATCTTGGCTGAGGTGCTTCTTTGTGTGAAATCTGGCCCAAGCCTCACGAGCAGTCTTCTGGGCATGGTCTACTTCCTCAAGAAGCAAGTCGCAGAACCTGGCACAAAAAACAAACTCTCAGCTAGCCAGTGCAGCTGCTTCATTTTCTTGTATCAGCTTGCCATTCCCAGGTTTCTCGTTCATCTTGTTCCGGCGGAACATGAGATTCAGAGGCTTTTTGCAAGTGATCATTGCATGCACCAACTGGGTAATCCAAGCTAATCAGCAAGTGTAGTCAAGTAGGACGGCACCATCGTCACGAAGTTCAATGAAGATTTCCAGAACACTTTCTATGCTAAAGCAAAAGCAAAAGCACACAGGCTAGATTCAGGAGAAGAGGTGTGGAAGACTGGCACCAAGTGGCACGAGTGACCAATTGGGGCAAGTGGGACCAAGTGGGACCAAGTGGACCAAGGGCTGCGGCCATATGCTTAAGTCCCAAGTGGTCAAATGGGGTCAAGTGACCCTCAGCAAATGCAAGGGCCAGGAGGATGCTTCACTCCCATGGAAGATCTGCACTCCGACAAACTGAAGCGCAGAAGTGACGCCGGGATGGCTCAGAGCTCAAAAGGTCGAAGGAGAAAACTCCAGGAGTTTCTTCTCGCAAAACCTTGACACAATGAGCAATGCGTATAGGACGTACCGAATCACATTGAAGCAATGCAAGCAGCACCTCTCTCTATCTGAGGAGAGGACGTCCTTGAAATTTGGATGCTCGGCAGTCGCGGCAGACAAAAAGGTAGGGGCAAGCCACCTGCTCAAGGAGCCCCCTGCCTGTTTGAACATGTTGAACATGGGCCGAATGCAGAAGAAATTCAACATAGACAATATGTTGATAAGGTAAAATGAAATATGTCTTGCTTGCCTCCTTACATTCTCGTGCGGATTCTCGAACAATTCAGGATGCAAAGGCTCATACCTGCCTGCAGTCTATACAAGCGAATAGCGAAGGAGCACAGTAGCGAAGAAGCAGCCTTCTTTGTAAACATCTCCGAAGTAGTGCTTGCGCAGCTCAGATTTCCCTGCAAAATCAGTGTGGTTAGCTTGCTTTAGGTCAAAGATGGAATCAAAAGCGGCGGTTGCATGACTTGAAAGTCGGCCCTTTGCAATACAGTAAGTCACCAACATTCTTCAGGGTAATGTCAAGCGGTAAAGTGTCTCTGCTTTTCTGAACTTTTCACGCTTGCACACGTGGTCCAGAGCAGTGGCACGGGCATTGCAAGTGCTCCAATTGAGTAATACAAATACATTGACACCATTGTTGAGCAGTCATGTAGTATTGGTATGAAGACATTCATCCCTGCTGCATGAAAATGTCATGTTAGTTTCCTCAGCGCCGGCGTCTGCGACTGCCACGACTGCGGCTATCTTTGCGCTTGCGATCACGTTTGCTTCTGCTTCGGCTATGGGTACCTGACCAGGATGGCATGTTCACACTTTAAAGGCATTTGACAATGCCTTTTTGTCGGCAAACAATGCTTAGGTACATCTCAAATAGGCCTATGATTGTTGAGCTTCCCTAAAAATCTAGGAACCAAATCACAGTGAAGTGCGAGCGCTTCTTCAAGGAAGCTCCCCCCGCCGGGGGCGGCCGGGGGAGCTTCCTTGAAGAAGTGTGAGCCATCCTGCGTCCATATGTAGGAGCTAGGAGCGTGTCTAGTCCCTCAATCAAGTAGTTTTGGAGGGTTTTTTCGGATTGTTTCTTTGTTTTTGTGATTTTTTTCGGATTCTGCTTTTGCTGCTTTTCTGTTTGTGTTGCTTTTCTGCTTTGGCTGCTGTTCTCCTTTCTCTTTTTGTTTTTGCTTTTCCATTTTTTTGCTTTGCAGAGAAGAAACCAAACAAGGAAGGAAGGAAGGAAGGACGGACGGACGGAAGGAAGGAAGGAAGCAAGCAAGCAAGGAAGCAAGGAAGCAAGGAAGCAAGGAAGCAAGGAAGCAAGCAAGCAAGCAAGCAAGCAAGAGCTGCTCACCTTTGGATCTGGTGTGCTGCTGGGGGGGGCGCTGCACAAAATCTGCACTTCATCTCCGACACCCGCGCCTGCCACGAAATCAATATTTTAAGGTGAACTCCCCAGCCAACCAAATATGCCTCCTGTGCTGGTTCTCTTTCTCTTTGCTGTTTCTCTGCTAACTGCATCAAACTGTTGTGATAGGTAGGAATTTCTCTGACACCTACACTATTCCAATGTATTTTGCCAGCTACGACAGCTCCCAAATTAGTCTAATCAGCTAGCAATTAATATGAAACCTGCACTATTCTAATGTATTTGGCCAGCTACGACACCTGTGTCTCTGCTAAGGACACGAAATTGCTGTAATTAGCTAGGTAAGGTACTAATAAGAAAGCCGCTCAATCCCAATGTAAAAAATAAAAAATAAAAAACAATAAAAGCGCACCCATTATATAAGTAGGCGCCTACTTGATGAAGTAAGGAGGCAGAGCCACGGGCGTTATATAAACAGACAAGGAAAAATATGTTCTTGCAAAAAGCCGCGATCGACGGCCTCGCGCAGGACGGCTTTGACGAACTGGCTCCGGCGAGCTGAATTCTTGAGGCCGCCAATGACTAGCACTGCGACTCCTCCAAACAGCCATCACAAGTTCTCACATTCGGAAGAAGAAAAAAAGTGAAAACATATTTGAAAGTTTGTTAAAGTTTCAGCTGAATATTAAAAACTTGTGTTTCGGTGAAAATGTATGACATTATAATTATGATGTATCCATTGAGTGAGGAATGCCGATGATTGTCAAGGCATGTTTCATGGTCTTCTTGCACTACTTCCAGCTGACTCTCAAAATGAGGAATGACACTCGCCAAGGCCTGCTGCAACTACGACTGCGACTGAGAACTGGGCTCCTACAAAAGAACTATGAAAAAATACATGTCTGCATTGCTTGAAACTGACATACTATGGCATATCCAGCAAGCCTCTTGCGTCTGCTTCTACTGCGTCTTCTGCGTGCCTAAAAACATGCAGCTTCATTTATCTGCTTGATTGCTTCTTCCTTGCAAAGGCTTTCTCGTCCGATTCTCTTAGCAGCTCGGATTTCTCAGCTGCTTGCCCGGCTTCGACCTCGAAGGCGAGAACACAAATGGAAAGGAAAGCAAGGTAGCAAATTGGCCATTTGTAAAAGCAATGCCTCAAACTTCAACCTTTTCTTGGCTTTGGCAGGTGGCAAAAATTGGATTTTTCAAAGATCTGTTCACCAAGAACCCTTTGCTTTCGGGGTGCCTTGTCTACTTCGGCTGCAACTTGGACTGCTCCTCCAGGTTTCAATCGATTGCTCAAACTGTGCTCTACCAGGCCACACACACACTCGAGGTAATTCGTACGGGATCGAAAGCCACTCGCCGCACGGCTGCCTAGGTGAAAAAGGGTTCCTGAGTTAAAAACCGGACGAGTAGGTTGGAGGCCATCGTAGCTAGGTTGGAGGCCATTGCATCTAGGTGGGAGGTCATCGCACCAGGTAGAAGGACCTCGTAAGTAGGTAGGTTGGCTGCGTACACAAACAATTTGAGCTCGCATCACAGTCTAATTCACGCTCACGTCATATTTAGATTGAGCAGAAAGGTTAAGTTGGAGGCCATCGCACTTAGGTTGGAGGCCATCGCATCTAGGTGAGAGCCCATCACAACTTGGTTAGAGGCCATCGCTAATAGGTTGACTGCGTACACGTAGTCGCATACGTTTAACACACAAGCAAGTGCAAGTGGGTTGACTGCATGCAAGCTGAACATTTAACGCACAAATCTTTGTAGAAAAGCAACAACAAGTATAACTACAGACCTGAATACCTAAACCTAAACAGCCTTGCACCTCTACGAGTGGTCGGTAGTTACAACGCTCACAAACCAATGCAGGTACATGGGACTGGCCAGGTACCACATCCCGCGATATCACCCAGCTTCGTTTGTCAAGGTTGGTGATATCGGGCCTTGACACCCTGCATTATTACACCAACAGGTGACCTTTGATTCCAAGGTATTCACACCGACCCAAGGCCCACCCACCCACCCCCGCCCGCCCGCACGCATGCTGTTTAAGCGTCCTGTCAGCTGGCCGAAACCTTGCACAAGCAGTGAGTTGCGGATCGGTGCAAATGGCAAGTGTTGAGACTGTAGTAATCTGCTTTAGAAGTATATCTGGACAAATTTGGAGAAGTTGGTGTCCGGCGTCAATAATCCTTCTATCATTCACTGCGTCCAACTTTCAGATCATAAGCTCTGGACTTGGCAGCCAGCAACTTTTCGTGACTTGCCGTTTGAGGTATCAATTCCTGAAGAGTGTGGCATGTTGTCTAAACGGAACAAAAACACTTGTCTCTAATGAGTGTCTTGACAGTCCATGTCTTGCTATATCTTCTCGACAGAGTTCTCTTTATCTAATTGTACAATTGATGTGTTTTGTCCAAAGCACTTTGCGAAGGCCAACATGTTCACTTTATTTCGACACAGAAATACCAAGTTTAGTGCCGGAACCCCTCTGCGCACAGCTGGGACTGCAGTACGCATTCCAGGAGCTGTTCTTGCAAACCTGCACGTGGCCAAATTAATCGTTCCCTCCAGTTGAGCTTTTGAAAATCATGCAAAGTTTCATTGTGGTCTGCCAGGCCTGATCATCACGCATTTGCCCTGGACATTGCGACCATTGAGCCCCTGTGATTGGCCAAGTGTCAGGAAAGAATAGATATTAAACATTCTTTCGCCGCTCTGGATTCTGCGCTCAAACAAAAATGGCAAGAAAGACTGCACAAAATCAACATTTACTTAGTAGCTAGAAGCCATTAGTGGAGGCCATCGCTATTAGGTTGGAGGCCATCGCTACTAGTAACAAGAAGCTACTAGTAGCTAGAAGCTTTTCGAATCGAAAGGTGCCAAGAAGTGACTAAGTGCAAGAGGAGATCGGCAGGCAAAGGTGATCACGCACCTATGGCGTCTCAGCATGGCCTGCATCGCCTTTCTGGCATCGTCCCGACGTGCAAACTCCACGATGGCAATACGAGTGTCAGGCGCCTAGCACAAAGAGCAAACAAGAACTCCAAGTAGCACACACTGCTTCTTTTCTTTTTTGAGCCGGGGGTAGGCCGTAGCTAGGTAGCTGGAGGTAGCTAGTAGCTTTAAGTAGCTACTACCGACTGGACGCAGGATAGCTCTCACTTCGTCTAAGCATTTGGTTCCTAGATGTTCAGGGAAACTTACTGTAACTATATGTGACCCCCTCTTTGATTGTTTGATGTGCTTCATTAACCCGCTACGGAGGGAGCTGTCCGCCGTGAGAGTAGGCTCAAGTAGCTAGTAGTGGTACATACTTTGCTTAGATAGCTATTACTAGTACCGATCGGAAGCCAAGCTCAGGCTTTCTTCAAGGAAGTCAGCTCCCCGCTGCCCCGAAGGCGGCGCGGGGCAGTTTCCTTGAAGAAGTCCTCACACTACAGTATTCATTGATATTAATTTGGTTCCTAGTAGGCAACTGGTATAACACACCCTCAGCTGGTGACTAGTGAGACACGAGGAGAAGAGTCAGCCAAGTTCGGGGCCCCTTTCATGTTCTTGTTCTGAGTGATGTTCACATTCTTCACCTCGGCCAAGAATAGGCACGGTTTGATAGCCTGTGCAGTCAACATTCACTTGGCTGCAAAACTTCCCTTGACCTTCTCCCGGGCTGATGCTTTCGTACATCTTGGTGACACCCTGGGACCTTCAGTCCGCTGGCAGGTCTCCATATACATCCGCCAAAGTGATGCCTTGATGTTCCAAGAAGGATGTTGTGCAGTGGCACTCTGTGTGTGAGAAGGGCTGGGCAGACTATCCGGGTGCGGTGCAAAGCGAAACTGCTTGTTGCTGTGATTGTTGGTCACAGGTAATTGCTTGTTGTCTGTTGCTTGTTGTTGCTGTTGTTGTAACAGAGAGGTGCCTCAGGGTGCAAGCGTTCGGCAACGATTGTTCTTCACACTGATGTGAAGAATGTATTGGTACAGTATATTGTTTTATAGTTCTGTTGCGCGCACAGGCACAGGCTTGGAGGGAGTTTCTTCCCGTCTACATGTGTTTGGAGAAACACAAATATATATATATATACATATGCAAACATACAGTGGGTATCACCTGGCTTCCAAAAAAAAACTGGTGGCCTGAGCTTTAGTCAGATTGTCAAATGTGAAGAGATTGGGACACCGGACTCTCCCATAGTGTTCAAACTGGGCTTGCAAAGACTCGCTTGTGACACCATCCTGCAAAGCAACGCAAACACCATAGGAAGCTACTGCTACTACTACCCGTACTGTAAGCAGCTTGAGTTGGCATGCTGTCCTTGATTCCTTGGACACAAAGAGTAGCATACGGGAATGCCATCATCTTTGCGGCACATCACATGAGGCATAAATGCCGCAAGGTTTGCTTGAGGTTCAAGTGGTTTGGTGGTTGACTTTCTTTGCATTGCTTCTTTGGGGCTTCCAACCTGCTGTACACCATCAACATACGCTTGTCAGCAATACGGTCTTTGAATTACATATATATATATGTATTTATATATATATATATGTGATCTCGTGTGGCATGGGAGCAAAGCCATTCCTTCCAGCACTGCGCATGGATTGAGCCAAACCGAGCCAGTGGCATGTAAAGTGTGGCTTTATTGTTCCTAGTAGCGATGCCCTTTGCTCCTAGTAGCGTCCTTGCTCCTAGTAGTACGGCCAGGAGCCCCTAGTAGCGTCCTTACCCCTGACATGGTGAACTTTTTCTTGCTTCTCCTCACCTCAACTTTCTCTCACACAATTGTGCTGTTGTTCAGTCTGCACAGTTGCAGTCTCTGCCTCCATCTGCGGCCATTGCACAAAGAGCCCGCTGTTGTCTCGGCCTTGCAGGAGCAGCTAATGGAGCATCAGAGGGTAACATATCAGAAGGAAGAAGTGCAAAAAAGTACAAAAAGAAAGGTCTACCAGTCTAACAGTCTAACGTGCTAGAGTGGTAAGGAAAAGAACACAAGAAAGGAAGTCTTTCTTCAAATAAAGACATTGCTGACGATGTCACCTTCCGGTCACAAGTCCTTAGAAGACCCCAGCGGTGGTTCCTCCTCATTTTGGCCCGATCTTGAACTGGCTGAGATGTGTACTCTCTTGTGACAAAGATTGAAACGGCCTTAAAACCAAGCTAATTTGAACCAGGCTTGGACCAGCTACTGAGCCGCTACTGTGACTTTATTGCTTGTTATCGAAAGCTAGGAGCGGCACAAGGCCACAGGGACAAGCAAGCGCCTGGCAAAACAAACCCTGCAGCTTGGAACAACAGAGAAATACCTAAAGTCGCTACGCTGCTGAGTCTTTACCAAAAAGTCCCTGCCACGAAACTCTACCACTAAGTCACTAAGTAAGCTGAGGCGTGAACCAACCGAGACTCGCAGTTGCCTGTTGATATGGTGTCTCATCATGGTTGATCACGCTTGTCAATTGCTGGGTGGGCGGCGCAAAGAGCCAATGCACGAGCTTCTCTACAGCCTGTCTAGAAGCATGAGCTTTTCAATCGATCAGCAATTGGGGCTAAAGCGCCTTGGATCCGTGGAGAAATGACACCACGCCTTGACAGTTGGGAACAACAGTCAAAAAAAATCAGAAATTCATTCACAGTCTGCGCCTGGGGAACCACATCGCAGGTAGTCTTGGGCCGAAAAGTCATACATTGGAGACAGTTTCTACTTCTCAGCGAGAGGAGTGCGCCTACCTACCAGTAGCATTTTATTGTCAGAATGAGTATGACAAGATGAGAATATCATAAAAACATATAAAGTATCTCGAAATCAGGTGAAAAAATACAAACATTTACGCCAGCGTGGACCGTAGAAAGCAAAAATATTTGTGGGCAACATGGCACCAGCACCCACACTCCAAATCGCACACTGCCATAAACACCTGGCAGCCTGCAGGGGACCAGCAGGCTCCAAACCGCACACTGTCTGGCAGCAACACACTGCAGCAGCACCAGCAACCAGGCTCCAAAGCGCACATGGCCATACACATCTGGCGGCGGCACCCGCCCAGGTTCCATTCGCACACAGGCACCCTATTTGAAGTAAGAACTTCAATAGCTCAAGAATAAAAGAACGTGCCAATTAATGTTTCGCACTTTGGGCATTGGCATTGCTTGGCATTGCATCAAGCAGTGAGTTCAGGAGGGCTCAAAGAGCGAGGCCTGCACAGGGCGCTGAAGCACACAGCCTAACCAATTTAGTCGAATTAAGAAAAGATGATAACCAGTTGTTTTTAATCCACGCCTTCTGCACTGCAGCTCAGAAATTTGTGCCCGCAAACGTGCAGCCACAGCTGGAGATGACGTTTCATGCACCTGTGCCTGAAACAGCTGAGAACCATTGGTGCCAGGCTCATAGTCCCATATAGTTGGTCCCCAGTGTCTTCCGGGCTCAGGCTCATTCAGGCTCTGATGACAAGATCTAGAAACTATATCGAATTGGGGCAACTAGTAGCAACTGCTCAAACGCTCTGCCAAAATAAGCCTGACGATAAAAGTTGAGTTGTGCCTGCCTCCATCTCAAGAAGGACTTCTGCTTCTGAGGAGTCATTCTGATGCAGGTTGAGGCAAAGTAAGTCGAGAATTGTAGCAGCCATGAGAATCCTTACCTCTCGCCTCCTCCATCAGAAATGCCAACATCTCTACTTCATGTTCAGCCTGCTCACAAGGAGAAAATTGAAAGAGGGCATAAGGACGTGAAAGAGCGTGAAAATCAGTCACCATGGCATGCTATGGCTGCCCTGTGTTCCGCCGCCTTGCTCCCTTCAATCGAGGGATAAGTTATCCCGATGATAGATAAGGGACAGGGGACCAACACCTGTGGATCACTGGGCCATAATTGTTGACCAATACCAAAAAAAATTACCCGTAAGACAAGCGGGTTCAAAGGGCACGAAGAGCAGAAGATTGAGAAAGGTTGGAAGAGCCACTTGAATAGAAACACGATATACCCTCACTGTACCTCAAAGAATTTTGCATTGATTGAGTGAGGTTTGGAGCTTCGGAAAGCCCAGCCTCTATGATGGTTCTTTCCCGAGGCTTCACATAGCCTGAAGCTTGCGTCTAGGATAAATATATAAAACATGCATAAATCTCAATTCAAGACCAACACAACCACACAAACCCTGCCTTCCCTCGCAGCAGTCTCAGCCTGCAGTGGTGTATGCCTAGTATGCTTTTGCCACATAATTTTCTCGTCGCCCACAAAGCCTCCACCCTGAGCTTGGCCGCCTTCAGCACCACGTTGACAAACTGGCCCCAGCTTTCACAAGATTCAATTGCAAAGGTTCTTAAGAAGCCAAGTGTTCACTCAGATTGATGAGACACTAGCGATGGCCTCCAACCTACTAGCGATGGCCTCCAACCTATGAGCGAACCAACCTAATAGCGAAGGATTATAGGATCTTCATTGCATGGAAGTGCTCCCTTTTGATCCTCGTTGACAAGAGCTTGATGAGCTCGATACTCGTGCCAGCTCAGTGTGGGCTTCGGCAACTTCACATCATGACATCCACCACATAATCATGTGACATCCATTGGACATCCATGAAACAAACTATGATCCGTCTTCATATCCGTTGCGCAGTGCAAAGAGCTGCTCCACACCAAAGTCCGTCTGAACAAAGACCTTCACTACATTTTTTGACCTTGAAAACATTGAGGTTCACTAATCTCCACTGCTGTGCAGAATTTTGGCCCTTCGGTAAACTTCTGATTGTCTCCGGAATGGCATTCATAGAGTCCCCAAGTGTTGATATCCTAGGCTCTCACTCTGCGCTTCGCTGTGAACGGCACTACATCAGCGCTTGCGACTTAGGCAACGGCCTCATCTGACCAGGTGTCCAAGCAGGCCATGGACTCAGCCTGCTTCAGCTGACTGTTCTCGTAGATGAAGAAGGCACAGTCACCCTCGATTGTGGCAAATGAACAAAGTGGACTTTAATCAAGTCGCAATGTATATGAACAGGTCAATACATTCAATAGGCTTTCCAAGTTGTACACTTCAACCCTCTTCGTGAGTGACATGAATTCGCGGCAGTCCTGTGCATCCACAAACTGGGCATCACTGTCCAGGCATTGTGTTCCTCCCGACCAAAAGAGCTTCCAGCAACTTCGGCCTCCAAGAGCTACAGAACAATAAAGCTTCCAGTGTGCAATCACTTTGGTTCATGGTTCAAATGTGCAAGCAACGATGATGAAGAATCTTGGAAAAGACGGCAGAACTCGCACCAAACATTTGCTTCCTGGTTTCAGATTCCAGAACCTCCTCATGGCAATTCCTACTTGCATTGACACGGGTGCAAAGGCATCATCAATGTTCCCTGTCAATTGACAGCATGTTGCAATGATGTCCAAGTCAACTGCAGTTTGATGTTTGAAGGCATTTTGGTAGGGTTTGCCTCAATTGCAGCCCTGGGGTGGTGGCATCATGCAAGCTTGGTATGCAGATTGAATACTAATTCGTTCACATCAACTTATGGTTACAAAAGCTTTCTGGCTGGTGACCCGGGAGATTTTCTTGACCGACCTTAATTTCCTGCATCTCGCTACACTGGTTAGTGTGGTTGGATCTTGAGCACTAACAAAACAACATGAGAGCTATATAGTATCTGTGGTTGGTTGTGTTGATCGGCGCACACCTGAACGATCCTGCACACCGTTTGTAACAGCACCCAATGTATACTGCACGCATCCTCACTTGATTGAAATCAACAACCTGTTATTAGCTCTTAAAGATTCTCAAAGTAAGTCTTTCAAGAAAAATGTAGTGAAGATTCAATCTGCAATCGAAGGCTGAAGAGCCACTGTGGACGAACGAACGACAACCTCCTACCAGCAAGACCATGTGTTGCCGATTATCCCAGTTTCTTGTTTAAACTTGAGGAGAGCCTTCGAGCTGATTCAGCACCAAATCTTTTTCACGGTGTTTGTTAGTCACAGATTGGGCAACAGCGAAGAGACAGCAAAAGCATCAGGCAGGTGAGAAGAGAACACACACCCCTACCAGGACAACGGGTTCCATGGGTTCACGCACTTACGGGCTCTGTGCTCCTTTACGGGCTCTACAGGCCTCATAGGCTCTACAGACGCGGACTAGCGCAGCCCAAAAACGAATGTCAAGACAAGAGTTCAGTTGTTGTTCTTGCGGCACCTTATACAAGTTTCAGACGTTGGTTCTGCAGCGGGTTGGTGAGCCTATTTTTACCATCTCTATGACCTCCACTACATGGTCACTACATGAGTAGACCATGCGGCTGCGAGTCAGTTGCATGAAGTAAAACGAAAATGCTATTGTAGTGTGCAAACGCAGAAAGTACTCGCATTATTATATGTGCAAACTCAAACATACATAAATCTTGCCCCTTTCGAACACTCGAAACAAAATGCATCATGTAAAGTTGTTGAGTCTGGTCCATCACCACAAATAGACCACGAGCAAAAGCACAAAAATCGCACTACGAAAGCGACGGTTTCTTAAACTCCCTCTCAACACCCCTTGCAATGGCTCTGCCGCGGAGGGAACCCTTTTTGCTCACCAGTCGGTTCCAATGAAAAATACACAAATAGAACTAGAACACAATAAACGTTTGAGGTCCTCGATGTTTACGAGCATTTTTGTTTGAGAACTTGAGACCAGAAACGTGCCAGTAGAAGGGAAGCACGAAGGAGGCACAAAATTTTGACTGCGCTGGCACCACCGCTTGGTTCTTACAATTTGTGGTGCAGTTTCGGGTGCAATGTCTGGCATTAATTACGCCAGCATAGACCCCGAATAGCACACTCCAAGTCGTTCGCTGCCATAAACACCTCTCAACGCACCCTGCCGCCGCCTGCACGACACCAACACGCCGGCTCCAAAACTCAAATTGCTACAAGCTTACAAGCATCCTCCAAAGCGCACATGGCACAAACATTTGGCCGGCAGCTTGCAGCGGCACCTTGCACAGCACCAGCGCACAACTTTCAATTCGCACATGGCGGCATGCACAGCAACAGCTTTCTGCAGCGGAACCAACGCCCAAAGGCCAAGCTAGGCCTTGGAGCGGCGCCCTGCAGCGGCACCAGCACTCAGCGCACATTGTCACGCACGCCATACACATGTGGCGGCGCCCTGCTGTGGCAACAGCACAAGTTGCAAAGCGCACCCTGCAGCGGCACCAGCACCCAGGCTCCAAAGCGCACACAGGCATCTCTTCCTATACTTGAAGTAAGGACCCCAATAGTGGGAACAAGCAAAATGCAAGTAAGCCGTAAAAATTACACCGGCATAGACCCCAGATGGAGGGTGTTTAGGTTTAAAGTACGCGCCACGGACGGCTGTCACCGCAGCACAAGACAAAACGCCGATCCAGAGCCAGCACCTGCACCTGCACCAGCATCAGCACGGCAGCAACAACTGCGAAACCCAAACGCCGATCCACAGCCAGCACCCGCACCCAGCATCAGCACGGCAGCAGCACCTCCAAAACCAAAGCGCCGATCAAGAGCCACACCATTGAGAAGCTAAAACCCCCATAGCCTGCAGCTATCTGGGGAACCAATCTATAGCAGCTGCCACTGAGACCTGACTGGGTGAGCAAAGCCCAAGTCTTGTGTTTGCGTTGATTTTGTGCTGGGAACCCTTCCTAAAAAGACTGAGCCAAAAGGACTGGCTGAAAAAGAACCAAAAAGCTGGTGCTCATTTTGTCAACTGTTAAAAACAAAAGCTTTTGCTGACTCTTACTGGCCATGGATTAAATTTGATAAGAGTTGGGATGCAGAACGGATTGCTACACTTCTGTTGCTGGATCAAACATGTCACTGTCCTAAAGGATCAGCCAGCTCCAGGAAGATCTAAGAGGTGTTCAGCGTTGTTTTCTGCTTTGTGCTTGCAGCAACTCTGTCGCCTTGAGCACGGCACTGTTGAACTGTTGGGCGCACTTGCTGCATGCTTGGTTCTGGGCCCGGTACTTCATTATTGACAAAAATCAATGTGTGCTGTGCATCACAGTAGATCTGCCTAAGCAAGACTGTCAGGAATACAAAGGTTGTGTACTGTGGGGTGGTGGCAGCTCGGAATAGGAGGGCTCCAAAACATGGCAGACCACGGTGTTGACTGCTTACAGATAAGTAAACAGGGATTTGTTTTATCGTGTTACTACTATTTGTACCATCATCTACTTGCCGGACTAGGAGAGGGGTGTTACGTGCCCTACGGGCTCCACGGGCCCACGGACTCCGTTCCAGGAGAGGCATGCCGGTCAAAGAAAGCAAGTGGATATCAAAGAGGCTCGAAGGAAGCAGAAGGAAATCGAAAGAATATGGTAGGACAACTGTGAAAGTTTATCCACGGCAGCGAGAAAAGTTGCCGTTTTTAGAGAAAACAGTCGGCCAGGCAAAGGCAAAAGTTTGCAAAAGTTGGGCTTGGGTATATCAGTGTGTATATACATGTTTGTTTACCGTGAGAAGCATCTTAAGAAAGAAGTGTTTAACGGTTTAACGCCCGCCTCGCTCTTTGCATCTTGCTGGCAGAGGTGATTCAGGAGATGCAGCAGATTCTGCATTTAGCCGTGCAAAAACCTCACACTGCGCACCACTCTTAAAGCCAAAGTGAGACATGTGTGTTTGTTCTCATGTTGCAGCTTGCATTCTTGCATGTTTCTCTCATGAATTTCACTCTCGCTCGCCTCAGGGTGATCTCTTTGTGCTTTTCGGTATAGTTGGGTTTCAATGGGCATCGTGGCACTCACCTTGGAAAACCTGCAGAGTGCGGAAAAATAATAAAAAAAGCCCAGGAGGGAGTAGGCCGCTAGGTGAAGAGGTGTAGCAGTGTAGCTAGTAGAAGTAGAATGGTAGCTAGTAGCTACCAGAAAGCTATGGCTACTAGCTACTGGACGCAGGATAGCTCAGGCTTCTCTCCTAGATTTTTAGGGAAACTGAATATTTGGTGCAACTGAAAGGTTCTGGCCTTGCACCACCTTTACTTCTGAACGACACACAAGGAGCCTGGCATTTCCGAAGATTGGACTTATACATGGAACAGGAGAGAAATACCTGGAACGCTTGTGTATTTCTCTCGAAGCACGCCTCCTTTATACCTGGTTGTTGCTGATTGTCAGGCCCAAGACAAGAACTCCCACGCTTCAATTGACCATCCTGAGTGAGCACTTGATGATGTGGTTGAATGATGTTCAAGACGTATACAATTTGCCGCCATGCAACGCTTGTAAGAGACCAAGTTTGCGCAGAGTGTGCTCCCGACAACTCACCTAAATTGCAAAAAATATGCACAAAAACCCTTCATGCTCTGTCTGACCTGCTTCTTCGTCCATCTGTGCAGATTTCGTTTGACAAAGCTTAGCCAAGTGACAAATACTAGTCACAGCCCGACCACCACCCTGGCCGCCCTGAATCATTTCGCATCAATGGGTGATTTGAAACTGCCAACAAGCATGTTTTAACATCTAAAAAAATGTCTCGAATAGCTTCTTGTTCCTTCTAGTGATGCAAGGAGCCCCTAGTAGCGTCCTTGCTCCTGGTAGCGATGCCAGGAGCCCCCAGTAGCGTCCTTGCTCCTAGACATGTCAAAAAAACCTTTAAACTGCCTGGAGGCACTGATCAGTGTTCCATGCCCGCAAGCCACTGCAGCACTTCCTCGCAAAGTGAGACCCAAGAGCTTAGCCAAGCCTTGGAGCCTTGAAGCCTTGGAATTCCTCGAAAAACATTGAAAACATAAGTGCCGCACTTGGATTTCCTCAGCACGGAATCTGTGGAGTGTTGTCTGCTCTGCAGTCCACATGAAAATCGTACAAGAATGCCTTCAAGCCGCCTATCTCGGTTACCCACGTGCCAAAAGAAGCGATGATTGCTCTCATCACACTGTTCTAACCTAGGATGTCTGTATCGCTGGCGCTGCGTCCTCAAAACTATGGCTGTTCAAGCTTTTCATGCATCTATGCGGCTGCACTCCTTCAGTTCCCTGGCCACTTGTGCCTGCAGGTCCAAGGAAGCGCAAGCATAGGCCGCTCTGCTCCTCAAGTACAGTGGCATAGGCTCAAAGTCAAGGAATGTTTCAACCGCATCACCTGGAGTCTTATGGAGTTCCAAAAAAAACAAACAATAAAACTATTAATACATGACATAAGATAACAGTGTCTTTATGGAGTGCCATGGAACCTCACGGATCATGAAGATCTCTGGCGGGATAAGACCAGCATCCTCGTAGACTGCCTTGAAACGCTTCAAGTACCAGGCGAAAGGTCGGCAGCCATTCAGTCGCTTGCGGACGTTCTCAAAAGTGGTCATGTCCTTGGGTATCAATTGCAACTAGGAAGGCGCATAGCCGCACAGCTGACTGAGCTTGGACCTGAAGCTCGGGAAGCTGAGGCCATGTCACCATACCAGTTGGGCCCACCATGAGCTTTACGATTTGCGAAGGCTGGGTAGTCGTCCAACTTGTCGCTAAACTCTTGGAGCCAAGCATGGATGGCCCGTGCCCGATTGAAGATCGTATCTCCAACATGTTTGTACCGCGCAGCAGTCTTTTTTGAATGCGTTCTCCACATATGTGCCACTTGTGCGTGAGGAGCAGCTACAATTTCACCGCCACAAACCCACATCCTGACCCCTTGATCAATGTTCTCACCACCCCATCCCAACATCTTTGCATCGAATCCGCCACTTTCATCCCACCAAAATCTCGACATTCCTGCCAGCCCTCCGGACAACATGCCCATATACATGTCATCAGTGCCTGAGTTGAGCATGAGCACTCAAGTTATCTTGGAATGCTGTCAAAATGCACATAACTCAGAATGCATTCAGAATAAGAGCTGTGTGCACAGTTTGGCCGTGGCGCCACCCCACTTGAAGTCACCATCCCAAGTCAAATAACATTTGGACATACCTCCTCCGCTTCCAATCTGAGTCCAGGTGTCAATATCCAGGGCAGTAATTTGTGGTATCACCATCCGCCGATAGTTCTCTCCAATGAGCCCAAGGAAGTCAAGATGCCATTTGGGCTGCGGAGCTAGGTTGCGGGTTGCAAGCAATTACGATAATTCCAAGCCACAAATGCTCCAAACAAAACACTGAAACTGCTCAAAGCCTTGGTCAGTGTTCTTTTGTAGAATCGACGACAGCAAAAACGGTAAGGCTCTTTAAGCCAAAGTGACCAACATGGCAATCAAAGAAGACGATCACATCACCAGTGGCTGCATCCCCTCCAGTCTTCTTGGCGCCAATAAGGCCAACTGTTTGCTCGTGCCTCTTAATCAATACTTTGAACTTCTTTTGAACATCTTCATTCAAGTGCGTCGCCGAAAGAGGCGGATTGCCTGGGCTTGATATAACATTCCAAGCAGTCAGACAATGGACTGTCAAGTCATTGCTCAGATCTTTGTTGCGAAAAGGCTTTAACTGTAGATTAATGCAATCGCTTGAGGAATGCAAACCGTGGCTCTGCCATCATCCACCACCACGATTTCGTGCAGCGCTTCAGGGGGTGTTGTGTCATAGACGGACTTGACGGTTTTGAACTCGGCTATTCATTATTGTGCGTGTTCAACTCGGCATCTTTGCAAATTGTCTGCAGAAAAGTCGCCGCCAAATCACGCTCTTCTGCACACGGAAGGACCTCGGTGGCCAGTACTATATAATTCACTATTGCACCCACAGGGCCTCCTGGATCTTACTGGTGCTGAACATTGCGACTCATGCAAGGAAGGAAAGCAAACAAGACTAGGTGCAAAAATGCTTGGACAGCTTTTGTTACAAGGAGGCGTTTTGCTTGAGGAACAAAATGTCTAGTCGATGGTCTGGTTTTGCTACAAAGCTTCATGAATTTGCTCCTACATAGTCGATCCATGTCGATCCCCTCCTGGTGAGGGCAAATGCCTTACCGCACAGCGGTGTGAATGTGGATTAAAACAGAAACCTAACATTCAAACAAGCTGACAATAAAGTTGCACAAACTAGAAAAACAAGTGGGTAGGATTTATGCGCTAGTGGGTGCGCGGTGCGTAAAAAGCCACGGAGGTTGGATGCATCTCATTGTCATTGACTTCTCAGAAGTCGCCTGAGTCTAGGAAATTTGATTTTGAAAAAGGGGTCTACAAATGGGGGACGGGATTGCTTGACGACAAGCTTGCTATAGTGCTCTTCTTCATCTGACTATGATATGCTTTCGCGGAACTGCCACACAGCGTCGCTTTACTTTCAAAAGTGTCAGATTCGAGAAAGGGCAACATTTTCTCACAGGCTCGGGAAACCATACATGATAGACTCATCTTCGTAGCAATCACAATGAACCTGAGAATATCAGGCCACCACCAAGAACCAAGAAATCATCTGCCGTGGTGTTGACAACCCACGCACAGCACCGCAGCACTCCCCGCTCCAGCCAACCCCCAAGGCATTTACCACACAACACTCACTTATGGTTTGAGGCTCCGTATAGAAAAGCGTGCTGTGCGTACCGCACTGTAGCCCAATTCACATGACAATATACTTCCAGGGTTCCAAGTATAAACTATAAACACAACTAGCCTTCTGGGTTCTCTAAAAGATCCCTCCAAGCCACATGGTGGGAGACACACAAGGGTGCGCGTATGTGCCATGCGTTCGTGCAGCATGTCTTGCTTCATAAACTCATAGGTGGAAAAATAGGTTTCACACATTTCTCACCAAGCAGCCACAGATATTGTGCGAGGCGACCACTTCAGATCTTCAGGCTCCGCATCCAGCACAAAATTACCCTCGCCAACATACGCAAGAGAAGCTCGAGGAATACTTGGAGGTTCATGGACAGCTTGGGGTTCCGGAATCTGCGGACTCTCAAGCTGGTTGATATAGGCCTCGATCCGGAAGTAAAGCATACGTACAACATGATTGATATAAAGCACAAGTGCAAAGGCATGAAGACTTATAGATGCGCCAAAGTTAGACACGGTCCGTTCTTAAACACCGCCTGTACTAGTACTAGTTACATCATGTTGATGTTAGATCTCTTGAACTGCTAGAGAAGTAAAACAAGAAGCTACTAGGGGCTCCTTACATCGCTACTAGGAGCAAGGACGCTACTAGGGGCTCCTGGCCTTACTACTAGGAACAAGAAGCTACTAGGGGCAAGTTGAACCCAGGCCTTGGAACCACGCATCGCTGGAGCCAAAGAAGCTTGATCATGTTGAACGGGCTCCAGCGGTTTGACAGGGTCAGGCTTTATGCTCTCTTGCAACAGTAAAGACCAAATCCTTGGAGAAGTGCTTGCTGTGCTCGCATGCAAAATGGTTTGAGGGAAAAGGATGGAAAGGGAACGAAGATCTGCCATATTGTTTGAAAGAAGAGACGCGCAGGATCTAGCTAAGAGGGTCTTTCAAAAGGGATATATTTAAGCAAAACATGAAAGAGTGGAGTGAGAGAGGATTCAGCCCAAAGGCTTCGTTTCTGTGCCAGCCATTTTTATGAACCCATGTGGTGCACCCCTAAAACCCGCTCCATACGCGCTGCATACCCTGTGACCACATTCATTCCAGTGCTTCTTTATTGGCCCAAGGGCCTAAGGGGTAGGACCGTGCGCATGCCCCATATCCCAGCTTCAATCGCCCTCCTGGCGCACTTGCAGCCCTGGCGACTGCAGAATGCATAGGACAGCCCATCGAATGAGGAAATACTTCAAAGCAGTACCAGAGGATCGTCGCTTGGGGCTGAGAGTCAGCCAATGATATAAATCAAAAATTGAAGCTGCACTCGATAAAGCCAAACCAAGCCTCAGTAACAATAACTCAATGAAACCTGTGCTACAGATTGGAAAAGCTGTTGACTCAACCACTCAGGAAGGTGCCAGTCTGGGCCTACCCCAGCAATCAGTGTAGCTACCGGAATAGTCCACCTAAGTTCACTTCTCAATGTTGAATAAGCATGTCTGTTACATTTTGGCAGCCCACAGTAGCAACACGCGCAGCAGCAGCTGGGCCATCAAGTTGCATGAGATGCCATTGACTCCGGCACCAACACGACTCGATTCGATAAGTTGTAAGTCCTGTAGCTGGGTTGATCAGTCCTTCCAACTTCGATGCCTGTTTGTGATGACACTGCTACAGAGAAGGGGGCTACAAAGTTCTGCATCCTTTGTCCTGTTCCGTTTCGGTACAGGGTGGTTCTTGGTCTTTGACCTAGCATCTTGCAGCTGCAAACGGTAAGGACAAACAGGTCTTCAAAACGAGTTGAAAGTAAAAGCATCCAAGGTGATCTTCAGCCAACCTCCCCTGCAGGGTGGGAAGACCTTGAGACCAGAGATGCCACGCAATATGCGACTAGGACGCTACTAGGAGCAAAGGACGCTACTAGGGGTTCCTGGCCTTACTACTAGGAGCAAGAAACTAGTATATGCCACCGATTTACTGAGAGCCAGTGAAACTCCTCTGAGAGTCCGTCGGAGTGGACAGCGAAATCGCGCCTGTTCAAATCACTTCAGATTTCACGAGTGCAGGGACCATCAAATCACTGGAAATGCGACGCTTAGGGCTGAGCTGGCAAAAGAGTTGATATTGATCTTTAGCAATCTACAGGTAAACAACGAGTTCAACAAAACACCATCATGTGCTACATGTTAATATCATGTCTACACTCTACACCTCTTGCATGCCTCTTGAGAGAACAAAGAATATCCATCCACCAATCCCTTGGAATGTGGACAAGTGCACAACAAACTGGCTTACTAAATGCCCTTTTTCAAAGAGCTTTGGGAGTTGGAATGTGCTGGCACTTGTCGGCACTGTTTGGGATCGCGCAACGTGGCACGGGAAGGCGGACCATCGAACTCCATCCATTGTTGGCGATGCATTCGGAGCCCGAGATTGCTGGATTGAATGCAAGGCTGCAAGACGCTTGAAGTCAACTGAAGGGCTCTCCAAGTTTGATCTAGAGTACTTGAGAGAGGAGGGGGTGAACGAAAGGTAGCAGGGAATCAGGCGTAATTTTGGAAACACTGGTATTAATGGTATTTACGGTGTTTTGTTAAAAAACGATGGTTTTGAAGTGTCTAGGCTTCAAAAATGGTCGGCGTTTGGAGGCTTCTAAATGGCACAAAACGACGGTATTTACACGGGATTGTGCGCCTTCCCGGCACAAAACCCTGTAAATTGCGATGGTTTTGGGCTGTGTACGCGTCAAAGTGGCCACAAAACACCATAAATGCAAGTGTTTTCATGTGTTTTCAGCTCCTCCTATCTTCAAGAGTGGCCTCAAGTTTTTTTGTGGCGGAAAGGGCTTTTGCGGTGCTTATATAGAGGCTTCAACGTGGCACAAAGCGACGGTACTTACACGGGCTTCTGCACCTTCCTGCCACAAAGCCCTGTATATTGGGATGGTTTGAAGCTATGTGTTTTTGGCCGGACAGCCACAGAAAACCCTGTAAATTGCGTGGTTTGAGGCCACTCTTGCAGACTGGAGGAGCTGAAAACACTGGTATTTACAGTGTTTTGTAGCTGTTGACAAAGACCCGTGCCAGGGTGGAGTTGAAGGGGGGGGGGGAGGGGGGCACACCCCCCCTCGGCCCTTAAAAGTAAATGTCGGAGGCAATTTCTCAGTGAGATGGGTGTCCACTCTCGTTATAATTCATTGTTGCTAATAAAGCAAAAGGAAAACTCAGTAGCGTAACCGCTACCTTTCGTGATAAAGATTTGCAAAGGAGCAAGGGAAAAATGTAGGTGTCATTGTCATAGTTCTTGCAAACACACTGATGATGCATACAGAGGTAGGTGCATCACCAGCAGCTGAACATGGTGTAGCAATATCTGAAAGTTCTAAATGGCCTGGTCGCGACCAAGTTGATAACATCCTGGCCACTTTGACGTGCAGAAACTCACAATGGAGGCTCGTCGCAACACTTTGCAATGGGTGCGCCGTGCGCGACGCGCCATGCGCCTGGCAGACTCCACAGAGCGTCCTTGCCTCTGCCGTGACTCCAGGGGCATCCTTGCAGCGACACTGCACTTTAACAGACAATAGGAGATGTCAAGCAGCCTTGCTTTTGGGGACTTTATGTCAGCATGAGTACCAGAATGGGAAAAATAAAGTAATACAATTGCAAGTCCCATTTCGCACGCCCACAGTAATCGCAATCAGCGCCCCAGGCAGCAGGAAACACTTTTGGAACTCTCCTTGCTAATGAACAAAATCTATAAAACTGCAAGAATGCATGACTCCCCTCAAAAAAGGTGCCTTCAGCTTTGTCCCATTCCCAATCCAAGAGAGCCTTGTCGGAGTCTTGATTGTTGACACATCCGACCAGGGCCGTATCTGGCGTGCACCTTCTGAAAATTCACCTAACTCTCTCTCTCTCTCTCTTTCTCTCTCTCTCTCTCTCTCTCTCTCTTTATCTCTCTCTCTCTCTCTCTCTCTGTGCTCAAAGAAACTCTAGCATGTCTTACACTATTCTGAAGAACATTTCTAGCACAGCTGCAGTGTGAGATGCGGACTCTTGTCTGTGAAAGGACCTTACTTGGCCGGCGTTCCATACAAATCCATGCTGTGTAGTATCTTCTCACTTGGTGGGCTATCCACGTGAGCATTTTTGGGCTACACGCTTGCAAATCGTGCAGCCATCTTGTTGCCACTGCCCTGAAGAACGCGAGTTTGTCCGCACGTTCTGGCTTTGGAACTCTCATATGAGGAGGCCATCGATTTTAGGTTGGAGGCCTATATGTCTCTATATATATCACACCTGAGAAGGGAGGGGACGAAAACCAGCCTCCATAAGAAGACATCAATATGGCAATGGGGGGCGAAATCGATAACGCACTGGATCCGAAAGACTTGGCGCGCAAGATCAAGTGATTGGCTAACATCGGGCAAAGAGTAGGTACTGTGCTATGGGGCGAGGTCAACATTGCAGCCACCCCGACAGCAGTACATAGGTTTGGGGCGGGTGCCCTGTGCACTCCTGGTTCAAGGGCGTTTTCAAGCTGAAAAAGGCACCCCTAAGGAACTGAAGGGCGCTTGCTAGCTGCGTGTTGCCAAACAGTGCGCAAAGATGGCTGTGGGGCCCATGGGCGAGGCTATCGGCTGGCTTTCGTAGGGGTACATATGTATTTATAGACATATGCATCCTAAGTGATAAACGGAAACGTGAAAAGGTAAAGAAGGAAGTGCACAAGAAGAAACACAAACTTTTGAGGTGGGTGGAGTCTGTTGGACTTCTTTTCCATCAGGTTCAGCCAATGTCTCTGGACAGGTTCGCGCAAACCCGTTGCCCCCTCCTTCCTATCGTCGACATAAAACTGCACCCGAGGTAGAAGACATTCCTCCTCCGCTGCGCCTGTCTCATCCACATGAACTCCCACCCCGATATGGGGTGCCCTTTTGAGTCCGGCAACTAGGCCTCCTCGCCGTTAAAAAAGGGCACCCCCAAATTCTGTTCTCTTTCCTGCCCCCAACAGGCCGCATCAGGACATGAACTCGCACTCCCCCTTTTGCCTATGGTTGACAGGCATCTTTACCATTCAAAAAGGGCACCCCCAAGCAACGCCCAGATTTCTTGCAAACCCTCTTTTCTTGCCCATCCTCCTCCGCTACGCCTGGCTGCCACCTTCCCCACAGAGACGCACCTCCCCCTCACACCTAGTCGAACACTATTTCAATGGCCACCAGACGCACATCTCCCTTTCGTGGAGGAGTTCCATCCACTTTTCACGTCCCGCTGCGCCCTCCTGGTAGAAGACGGTCTACATTGCCTCCTGAGCCCCTCACGATGAACCATAGCGCTCGCGTCTTTTTCGCTCTCCCCCACCAGGCTCTGGGTTAGCCCTCCGAAATTGACCCGTGCGCGACCCCCGCCACACCCCCTTTACTCACTTCGTTCGCCCAACCCAACTTCAGCCTAGCCTATCGGCTGGCTTTCGTGATATACAGTATTTGTATTTATATATATATATATGCTAGCCCCCAAAAAAGAACACCTGCTTTTGATTTATCTCGAATCAAGTTCAGTTTTATGTCAAGTCAAATTTAGTTGGCTTATAGTACAATTTATTTGCAATTAGTTTTTGTTTCAGCTAGTTTACATCTTATACAAGTCGATTTCAATTATTTTACAATGGGTGAGTTTGCTGCGCTGGCCTCATGGCGAGCCTGTTTTGTCCTGAAAAAATGACGTCCCTTGGTGTGAATTGTATGTTGACTTCATTGCGCACGCACGTACACTAGCCCCAACACCCATTCCTGGGACTAAGAAGTGTGGGGTCGCTGCTAGGTACGCTTCAATACACAGTCCGCTTGTGTATCATGTCTCTCCCACTTCGGGACGGGGCATCAGCACCTGCGCAATTTGCTTCAAAATGCGTGTTCGCGAAGGGGTCATTGCCATGCCTTTCGCATATTGTACCAAGGCTTTGCCAGCACGCAGATTAGGTTTTTCTGCAGTGAAGCCAGGCATTGTGTCCCAGCCTTCGCTTATAGGTGGCCTCAATGCTGCGTGCTGGTTTCAGAACACGCTGACCAGCGCAAAGAAAACACGGAACGATTTACCCTTTACGTTGACGACGCCACCGCTTTTTCGTAACTAAGCACCCTGATGTACTTGAATCCGAAACCAGCTTTGCTTTCGTTCGGCCACGCCCTTAGTTTCTTGCCTTCGTGCCTTCCGAGCATTCGTGTTTTCTCGCTGTAAATTGTTCCTGCATTGGGGACCAACCAAGTTGTGCCTCGGAGTCAGATCATTGCAAAGAGGAAAGAAAGAAAGAAAAGTTTTTACTATTCTAGTTTAATTCTGTTTTGATGTCCAATCTAATTGTGACTAACTCCAATTTGCTTTATTTCTAATTCAACGCAAATTGAATTCTCATTTAATTATGCTTTATTCTAGAGAGAGGATGCGGGTTTTGCTGGGGGTGCGATTTTAAGAAGACAACCTTTAAGAAAGCAACACATAAATTATAACATAAATTATATACAAAGTTCCATATATATATAATATGTGTTAATTGGAATTCAATGCAAACTTATTTCTATTGAATGTTTACTTCTCTTCAACTTAACTTCTATGCAGTTTATGTTTAAATCTAATACAATTTTATTCAGTCTAATCTAATGTTTGCTTTTATGCAATTCTAATTTGCTTCTTGTTGCATTTGAATTACACCAGCATAGACCCAGATAGCTAGGCAGAATCCCGACCTGTTGACATGCGACCGGCTGGAACAAGAATGTACGCAGCCTGCACAGCCAGCTTACGGCGCCTGCACAGCGCGCACATTCAGCTGACACCAGCACCGGCGCGCTTTGCCAGCTGACAACACCGGCAGCGGCGCCAGCGCCCGACCAGTGCCGCCGCCCGTCTTAAACGCGCGCTCAGCCAGCTCACAGCAGCAGCACCCAGGACCACAACACCGGCACCCAGCACCAGCGCCCAGCACCGGTATACCCCGGCACTCAGCACCCGGCACCCTGTCTCCACCAAGTGGACAGGCAGCTCACAGCACTGGCACCCGGCACCCAGCACCAGCACCGGCACCAGCACCCTGTCTCCACCACGTGCACAGCCAGCTCACAGCACTGGCACCCGGCACCCAGCACCAGCACCAGCAACCTGTCTCCACCACATGCACAGCCAGCTCACAGCGCCAGCGCCGGCACCCAGCACCAGCACCAGCACCCTGTCTCCACCACGTGCACAGCCAGCTCACAGCACCAGCACCGGCACCCAGCACCAGCACCAGCAACCTGTCTCCACCACGTGCACGGCCAGCTAGCACCAGCACCGGCACCCAGCACCAGCAACCTGTCTCGAAAGCGCGCACGGGCAACTCATTGTTAATTGAAGTAAGAACCCCATAGCTTCGCTATCTGGGGGAAAATGAAAGCTTTTCATATAACTTATGCGTTGCTTTCTTAAAGGTTGATTCTTAATCACACCCCCAGCAAAACCCGAACCCTCTCCCTAGAATAAAATCGTAATTAAATGAGAGTTCAATTTGCATTGAATTAGAAATAAATTTGCATTGAACTAGAATCGAACTAAAACTAAATTAGAGTTAATCAAAATTAAATTGGACATCAAAAAGAATTGAAGGAGAATTGTAAAACAACTGAAATTGAAATGTATAAGATTTAAGCTAGCTGAAAATAAAATGAATTACAAAAAATTGAAATATAAACACAACTAAAATTAACATAAAACTCAAATTGAACTAACTTCGAGATAAATCAAAAGCAAATTAGATTAGAATTGGAATTAAACTAAGATTGAATCAAAATTGCATTGTTTCAAGTAGAATTGGGTTAGAATTAAGATAGAATTGAATTAGAAGTGCTTAACCTGCAACTCGATTAGAGTTCAATTGCTGTAATAATGAATTAGGGTTAGACTTGAATGAGAATGACAATTAAAATGACATTTACAATAGAACTAAATTAGAATTAAATCCAGTTCGAATTGATTTAAAATCAAATTGGAGATTGAAACTAAACTTTAAATTAGAAATCAATTAGATTCAAATTTGAACTCAATCAGGTTCAAAATTTGAACTCAATCAGGTTCAAATTCGAATTTAAAGAATTAAGTTAGACCTGAGTAATAAGTAAATTAGAGTTTGATAGAATTCAATGATATTTATAAGGTGTCTTTCATGAATTCAGTTCAATGTTGGTTTAAAATAAGCTGAAATTGTAAAACCCTTAAGTAGAATTGAGTTATATAGATCTAAATTTGAAATCCATTGGAAATAAATGAAAATTCATACAATGAAAAATTGCATATATTTAAATTCAAATCTAAAGCAACTTCCAACAAATTTATACAGGTTGTGCAAAAGCCCAAAGGACCAAAACACGGACAAAACACAAAAAAGAACTTTGAAGAGGATGTGTGGTTCAGCCTCAATTTACTTTTTTTGTTTTCCGTGTGGTTGTTTGTTTTGAAATCCAAAAAACAAAAAGAAACGCGTTGTTTGTGGTTTTTGAAGGTTTAGGGTACTAGAATACGGCCAAAAACAAAAAACCATGTGTTTTTGGTTTTTCCCCAGATAGCGAAGCTATGGGGTTCTTACTTCAAATAATTCTCCAGATAGCGAAGCTATGGGGTTCTTACTTCAAATAACAATGAATTGCCCGCGCGCGCTTTCGAGACAGGTTGCTGGCGCTGGTGCCGGCGCTGGTGCTGTGAGCTGGCTGCACACGTGGTGGAGACAGGTTGCTGGCGCTGGCGCTGGTGCCGGGCGCGGGTGCTGGTGCGCACGTGGTGGAGACAGGTTGCTGGCGCTGGTCCGGGCGCCGGTGCTGGTGGTGGCGCTGTGAGCTGGCTGCGCACGTAGTGGGGACAGGCGCTGGCTGTGCACGTGGTGGAGACAGGTTGCTGGCGGTGCCGGGCGCCGGTGCTGGCGCTGGTGCTGTGAGTTGGCCGTGCACGTGGTGGAGACAGGTCGCTGGCGCTGGTGCCGGGTGCCGGTGCTGGTGCCCGCTTCTGACAGTGAAGTGATAACAACCGCCGCTTCTGACAGTGAAGGGTAACAAACCGCCGCTTGCAGCAGTGAAGGGCGACCAAACGCTGCTTCTGACAATGAAGTGCCAACAGTCATGGGCCGCACAAACTTATGCACGCAACATCATACGGTGTTGTCGCTTGAGCGCTCTTTGTCCATAGTGCTGTGGGGTGTTTACAGTTCTGTTTTGGCTGGCAGCTGTGTCAAGGGCTGTACTGTTTGCGCGCATACTTTTCTACGTATAATGTGTTCTATGCGCAACGTCAGGCTCTCAACCGAACATTGTTCCAGCATGTTTCAGCATGCTACACACACACACAATAGTCGTGCTGGATACTGCTTGGCCTTGGGCGAGTGAAGCCTACGGGCTTTGTTTGCCGTTTGCGCGCATACTTTTGCGCGCGCAAACTTTTACGCGCAAGGTCATACGGCCTTATCGTCCTGCAGATCGCTGCGTCAAGCATGCTAGAAAGTCAATAGTGGCGCTGGATACCGCTTGGCCTTGGGCCAATGACACTTACGGGCTTTGCTGTTTGCACGCATACTTTTGTGCGCGTAAACATACATGCGCAAGATCATACGTTGTTATTCCCCAAATAGGGATAGCTATGGGGTTCTTGCTGCAAATAACAATGAACTGGCTGCGCTTTCGAAAGAGTGTCGGTGCTGGTGCTGGTCTTGGGTGCTGGCAGCTGGCTGAGCGCGTTTTTAAGACGGGGAAGTGCCACAAGCTGGCTGCGCAGGCTGCGTGCATTCTTGCTCCAGCCAGTCGCATGTCAACAGGTCGTGGGATTCTGCCTAGCTATCTGGGTCTATGCTGGTGTAATTCAAAAAACAATGAGTTGCCCGCGCGCGTTTTCGAGACAGGTTGCTGGCGCTGGGCGCCGGTGTTGGTGCTGGTGCGGTGAGCTGGCTGCGCACATGGTGGAGATAGGTTGCTGGCGCTGGTGCCGGGGTTCCGGTGCGGGCGCTGGTGCTGTGAGCTGGCTGCGCAGGCGGAGACAGGTTGACGGTGCCGGCGCTGGTGCTGGGCGCTGGTGCTGTGAGCTGGCTGCGCACGTGGTGGAGACAGTTTGCTGGCGCTGATGCTTGGGCGCTGGCCGGGCGGCGCTGGCGCTGGTGCTGTGAGCTGGCTGTGCATGTGGTGCGCGCAGGTTGCTGGCGCTGGCGCTTGGTGGCGCTGGCGCGGGCGCTGGTGGCGTGAGCTGGCTGTGCGCGTGGTGGAGACAGGTTGCTGGTGCTGGGTGCCATATGCCGGCGCTGGTGCTGGCGCTGGTGCTGTTGGCTGGCTGCGCACGTGGTGGAGACAGGGTGCCAGTGTTGGTGCTGGTGCTGCGCTGGCTGCGCACGTGGTGGAGACAGGTTGTTGGGCGGCGCGCGCCGGCGCTAGTTCTGGCGCTGCGCGGGTATGTTGGAAGTGAGTGGGCTGTGGGGTCTAGATCAGGGCTATGTTGAAGGCTTTGCTGCTGTTACGCTACTTGTTTTGCGGCCATGTTGGTCCACTTGGATGCTCTTTCTCTGCGGTTTGACTTGGGCAGGTGGTCTTTTGCGTAGTGCGTGTAAAACACAAAAAACATGAAAAATGCGGTCCGACAAGTGTAAGAAAGTTTGTTTTGAGAGTTTTTTGGTCGTTTTTGTTGCTTACGAAAGCTTGCTCCAATGGGCGGTCAAATTTGGGGCATGCTCTTCGGGGATTTTGGCGCATTCTTGGCGTATCCTTTTCCATATTGGAGCACTCCACCCAATGTTGGGGCTCTCTTGAGGCTTCTCGTGGAGGTATGTTGGAAGTGAGTGGGGCTGCGGGGTCTAGATCAGGGCTATGTTGAAGGCTTTGCTGCTGTTATGCTACTTGTTTTGCGGCCATGTTGGTCCACTTGGCTGCTTTTTCTCTGCGGTTTGACTTGGGCAGGTGGTCTTTTGCGTAGTGTGTGTAAAGCACTATAGAAAATTATGTACCGTGCAAAATGAGGTCCGACAAATGTAGGAAAGTTGGTTTTGACAATAATTGTTGGTCGTTTTTGTTGCTTATGCGGGCTTCCTCCAGTGGGTGGTCAAATTTTGATGCGTGTTTGCGCCAATCTTCGGCGATCTTGGTGCTTTCTTGGGACATACCCTTTGCCATATTGGCACATTTCACCCAATGTTGGGGCTCTCTTGAGGCTTCTCGTGGAGGTATGTTGGAAGTGATTGGGGCCGTGGGGTCTAGATCAGGGCTATGTTGAAGGCTTTGCTGCTGTTATGTTACTTGTTTTGCGGCCATGTTGGTCCACTTGGCTGCTTTTTCTCTGCCCCGTTTGACTTGGCAGGTGGTTTTTCCCCACCTGCCAGGTGAGGGTTGTTAGATTTTATCACAGTTGTTCTTCCTCTTCCTTCCTTCCTTCCTTCCTTCCTTCCTTCCTTCCTTCCTCCTTGCTTCCTTCCTCGCCAACCTCCTCGCCAATGTTCATCGCCAATCTTCATCGCCAATCTTCTTCGCCAATCTGCTTCGCCGATCTGCTTCGCCGATCTTGTCTGGCAAGCTCCGGATCGCAGTGTGCACCCCTGGACATCAACCGCAAGGATCCGATCGCAGTGTGCACCCCTGGACCTCAACCGCAAGGATCCGATCACAGTGTGCACCCCTGGACCTCAACCGCAAGGGTCCGATCGCAGTGTGCACCCCTGGACCTCAACCGCAAGGATCCGAGCGCAGTGTGCACCCCTGGACCTCAACCGCAAGGATCCCCTCGCAGTGTGCACACCTCGACCTCAACCGCAAGGATCCGATCGCAGTGTGCATCCCTGGACCTCAACCGCAAGGATCCGATCGCAGCGCGCACCCCTGGACCTCAACCGCAAGGATCCGATCGCAGTGTGCACCGCTGGACCTCAACCGCAAAAAATCCGATCGCAGTGTGCACCGCTGGACCTCAACCAGATTGTTTGCCAGATAAAGTGCCAGATAGAATGCCAGGTAGATTGCCAGATAGAATGCTGCAAGAAGGTATGCCAGATAGTATGCCAAAGAGTGTGTCAGATAGATTGCTAGATACATTGCCAGATAGAATGCCAGAAAATATGCCAGATAGAATGCCAGATAGAATGCCAGATAAAATGCCAGATAGAATGCCAGAAGATATGCCAGATAGAATGACAGATAGTATGCCAGACAAAATGCCAGATAGTATGCCAGACAGTATGCCAGATAGTATGTCAGATAGATTGCCAGATAGAATGGCAGATTGAAGGGCAGAAAGTATGCTAGATAGTTTGCCAGATAGAATGCAAGAAGATATGCCAGATAGAATGCCAGGTGAAACAGTCTCACGCAGTCTCAACCACAACCACAATCACAACCTCAGAGACACAACCACAACCACAACCACAATCACACAATCACAGAGACACAACCACAACCACAACCACAATCACAAACACACAACCACAAACACACAACCACAAAAACACGACCACAAACACACAACCACAAACACACAACCCCAAACACACAACCCCAAACACAGAAACCACAAACACACAACCACAAACACACAAGCACAAACACACAAACACAAACACACAACCACAAACGCACAACCACAAACGCACAACCACAAACACACAACCACAAACACATCCACAAAACACACAATCACAGAGACACAACCACAACCACAACCACAAACACATCCACAAACACACAATCACAGAGACACAACCACAACTACAAGTACAAACACACAATCACAACCACTACCAGTACCACAAACACAATCACAAACACACAGCCACAAACACAACCACAAACACAATCACAAACACACAGCCACAAACACAACCGCCAACACATCCACAAACACACAATCACAAACACAGCCAGAAACACACAATCACAAACACAACCACAACCACAAGACAGCACACAACCACAACCACAACACACAACCACAGCACACAACCCGAGGACCCACAAGCAAAATCGAGAACTACAATACTCACGACCATGGCAACATGCTCATCACTATGGCATCAAGGCAAATGATTGACATGTCATGGGGGGGATCACTCGAAGTAAAGTAATTTGCGTACTGTGCGTAAAACGCCATAAATCCATGAAAATGAGGTCCGACGAGTGTAAGAAAGGTGGCTTTGACAGTTTTGTTTGTCGTTTTTGTTGCTTACGAAAGCTTGCTCCAGTGGGCAGTCAAATTTGGGGCATGTTTGCACCAATCTTCGGCGATCTTGGTGCATTCTCAGGGCATATCCTTCTCCATGTTGGCACGTTGGGGCTCTGTTGAGGCTTCTCGTGGAGGTATGTTGGAAGTGATTGGGGCTGTGGGATCTATGTTGAAGGCTTTGCTGCTGTTATTTTACTTTTTTGCGGCGATGTTCGTCCACTTGGCTGTTTTTCTCTGCCGTTTGACTTGGGCAGGTAGTCTTTTTGCGTCATGTGCGTATAACATCGTAAAAACCCGACAGACTTAGGTCCGACAAGTGTAAGGTTATATACTTGTTTTCTCTGCCGTTCGGCTTGGGCAGGTGGTCTTCTGCGTAGTGTACGTACAACACCGTTAAAGCCATGAAAAAAGAGGTCCGACTACCCAGCAATAAAATGCAGCTGCTCCGCTTTCCGTGTTTTTCCGAACTGGTTTGCAGACACGAACTCACGCCTCCGCGCGGTAGCCCACAGCTTTGCCCAAGTGGCTACCAGGACTGGAACACAAGGCAACGCAGAAACACAGCAAGTGCTGGCTTTGAAACAAGGAAAGGGGCCGTTACCTTCCTTTAGTCCTTTGGATTGTCGGTTCTTTAGAAGACTCTGCGGGGGCCTAGAAGTCACCGACCGAATTTCAGCCTCGGAAGTTGGAGAGCTCAACTTGGAGAGTCCAAATCAAGAAAACTAGACTAAGTTGGACATGGAAGTGAAACAAGGCTAGTTTGTTTCACCTTTTCTCTTGGACTCTTGTGTATTAAAATCGTTCAAATTGCTTTGAAGGCGAGTTGAAACTCGCCTGCAACTCCATGTCCTCCCGACGAGTTGGAACTCCTTTTGACTCCTGGCGTGTTATTTGCTTGAGGCCGAAGCTCCATTTCTCTAGTTTCAAACACAATCATTCAAGGCACACCGCACGTCTTCTCCAAACTTCACAATCGCCTTGCTTACGCACCAAAGCCTAGCAGTCAGTACGCGCTGGTTCCAGAAGCCTGCAGTTACAGTTACTTGTTCAAAGTACCTAGCTCTGGTAGGAACCTCCCGCCATTCAGCTGCCGTCTGTTGCAGCAGTACATAGCGTTGTCGGACCTAAAGGAGCATCTGTTGAAATCCGAAGAATTCCAACTTGGCAACGACATCCAAAGCAAATTGATACCAAAACTGACTAGCTTCTCTGAGAAAGCATTCCCAATTGAAACAAAAACCTGAAACCATTGTGACTCAGCATCTTTCACCATCTATGGCCTCTAAAAAATGTTGAGTGTCATTGAACCCCTGAGTTTTGCTCACATAATTGCTCTGAAGCTCCGTGCAGCTTGCAGTTCCGCTTCCCTGGCAGGAGCCCCTGCCTGACCAGCCAAGAAGGTGCACGACAACGCAGCACTCTTTTGGCTTGGAAACTGAACTTTGCGCTTGGCTCGAAAATGCATCCACGAACGCCACACGCGTGGCTTTGGAAGTATGTACACGAAAGAGCGGCGGCTAAGCAGCATAAAGGTGGACTCGACTGTCTTTGCAGGTAATCGCTCAGCTTGGCAAATTGCCAAGCGCATTCATAATCTACCAATAGGAGTGCTGCTCTTTTCCATCTTGCCCTCATTCATCTTGATCTGAAGGATCTTGCAGATCATCGCGTCTAGCTAGCAAGATCACATTTCCATCTGTGCCTTGAAAAGCGCCCTGTACAGGGAATCCAAGTGCTCTTAGCATTGCCAGCATACGTTGACGTCTGACATGAGGTCGATCTTCTTCTTCCTCAGAGTCGGAGAAGTCCGTTGGCGTCTGGAGCAACTGTGCCTGTGATTGATTCTCTTCTGTGGGCTCGGTTGCCTCACTTGAAACATTTGCTTGATTCTTCTTGACACGTTTGTAGTATTCAGGGCGGGATGGAAACTCTTGACCATCAAACGAAAAGTATAGTTCAGCACGCGCTGCTGTTGAACTTTCAGGCTCCAGCCAAACCGATGAAACTCGACGGCCCCAAGATGTTGTAGAAACGTGCTCTTTGGACACGCCAAGTTCGACCAATTCCTGGACTACAGAAAGCGCCCTCCGCCTCGAGGTGCTTGTGGCAATACCTCGTGGTGCACCTGCTCCAGCATGGGCATCCACATGGAATTTGAGTCGCGGATGTTGTTGAGCGAAGAGCGCTGCCGCATGTATGAGCTTCTTTGTTTCCTCAAGCAAGCTCAACCCTCCACCATACTCAAAGTACAGGTGATTTAAGCTGCCAAATGCGCATACATCAGAAACCTTCAGTCCGACAGCTAGCTGCTCCAGATTGGTGCATCCTTTTGCCCAGGTTAGGCCATGATCACAAAAGTCCTGTGCTCGGCGCTCTGCAAATCTCCGAGAAAAAACCAGCCTGTGTAAACTCGTATCTGCGTACCCAAGCCTCAGTTCAATATGCATCCAGATATGTTTTTGTACATATATATATGATATGGTTATATATATGAAGGATTATGAAGGCGTGTTGAATACATATAAACAAATGAAGGTGTTTGGAATCCAGAAAGGATGTTTGAATACAAGCGCATCGGACAGCCTGTAGCTACAATCATGCATCAAAACTGTTCAGGGAAGCAACCGTGCCAGTAGGGAAGGGTTGCAGCAGGCAGATCCCAATGCATCTGCAACATCTGGCAAGGCAAAGCAAGAAGCTGCAAGGCCTGGGACTGATTTGAAGAGAACTGGATTCCAAAAAAAGAACACCAAACCACACTGTTCAAGAAGCAAGAATACAACATATATCACATAACAAAACATGTCTTTGGGACATACATGTATACAGGAGTCATCACAAGTCGAACGGCTGCACAAGCAGGTGCATGTGTCACATATGCAGCCTCCAGGCGAAGAATCGCGACAGCTAAGCTTCTCGGGATCGAGAATCGGAAGTGATGGATAGCCCGCGCTGAAGGCCATTGCGGCAGGATCACTGTGACCGTGACGACAACAACTGTTCTGTTATGTGATGGAAATGATGTTTCTCATTCGCAGGTGACTTACTGTATGTGCTACATGTTTGATCATTTTGTGGAGCTGGCTGGGTGGCGGCTTCCCGGATACAGTAGGAGAAGCAGAACCACTGGAACCTCTCTTTATCGCAGGGAGTGAAGCAGTTCTCGGCCTCAGCTGCTCGTAGGGCCTCCAAGCGGACTGCCAATTCCAATGCCTCAAACTTTGCAGGGCTGTCAACTGGTCCAAAAGATCAAGCGCTTCCAGTCTACATCATCTAAACAAAATGCCAAGTTGTAGTTTCCTGGCTCTAGTATGTGTCTGTGTGTGCTCACCCATTTAACAGTCCCAGTGTAATGGGGAGGGCACTCTGGGTGTCCAGGCTTCTTGGCGAGCTTCGCCGTGCTTCTTGGCCAAGCGTGCATTCTCCCTTTGCCTGCATAGGTTCCTTTATTTCGATGTGAAGTACCACAAATCCCTCTTTTCCGGCATCCCCTGCCTGAGGCAAATTTCTCGCACAGCGTCCTCTAGTTAAAACTGGAGACGCAAGTTTAGGCCACGAAAACTTGCAGCTGTTATGTAGACAAGAGTCAGAAACTGGTCGGAGCAGTATTGCTTAAAACTTCCGTTACTACACTGCTTGACTTGTATTCTTGCCTGATGCTCTCGCACGTAAACATCTGCCTGGCCAATTGGACCGCACTGCACTGTGTAAGAGGTGCAGGTCAAGTATCAAGGTCGTTTTGTGAAATCTTGCCACTTTCGCTCCTGCCACCTTGCAGCTCCCAAGGCTGATCTCAACTGATCAATTTCCTCCAGGGCACTGCCCAACAACACATAGTGGATTTAAATAAATGAACGATATGAACATGACGTTTTTTTAAGCGGCCTCCGTTCCAACGCGCTTCAGCTCATCAATCTGTGCCCGTGAGAGTGATGCACAACAGAGCTTTCTGGTGGGCACCGTGCATGGTCTTACTATTGCTTTCTGCAGGCTGTCTTACTATTGGCAGAGGAGCTGCAGGACCTACGAAAGAATCACAAACCCGACAAGATTCAGACTGCAGATCCCATGTTTAATTTTTGTGAACATTCACTCGATGTTACGTCATGGTTCTTTTTGATTTTTTGTTTGACTTGTCTTTTCTGCATGGCTTCTTCAATCTGTTTGGGAGGCTTTGGAAGAAGCAAAACACACCGTCCTTCCCTTGAGGAAAAAGACACCAGAAGGAACAAAAGAAAGTGTGAGCAGCAAGCTTCTAGGGTGAATTGTCTGATACCTGTTTGGCCTGACCTCTGTTTTTTGGACGCAGTACACGTTGTGATTGCATGTTCTTCTGCTTTAGCCATACCGACGGATTGATCAACATTTTTTCTGGTTTGAAGGTTGAAAAGGGTTTGCTGATGAGGGATGTCTTCACAGCGAGTCTTGGCCTCTTCATGCCCATCCTTCTTAAATGGTTTTCTGGGACTTCTAGGTGTGTCGCTTTACTAGGCTGCTGGTTTTACCCTTTAAAATGTATTGGTTTCTCATATGTCAAATTATATACTTATATACATATATATATATATATATTCCTGCAGCCCCCACAACATGCTGCCCCTTGATATGTGTGAAACTGTACATCTGACCTGAATTTGTATTGCTCGCCTGCTCTGCCTTGGACCGCTCGAGCTCAGCGACCTCATCATGTAGACCGTAGAACTTGAGCAGTGTCATTCTTCTTTTACTACTTTTGACGTTTAAGGGATTCGTGTTTCCTTTGTTTCCTCCTTTTCTCTCGAAACATATCTCATGCTTGCAGACCCCACACCGCCTTCAAAGCATGTCCGCATCTCAACTCCTCCAACTCCTTTAAAGGAAGGAAAAGACACGAGTTCACACTCTCGGACATAAATCTAGCATAGTAACAAGTGCATCGCTACTAGTAACAAGTGCATTACTACTAGTAACAAGAAGCTACTGGTATATAGCGATGCACTTGTTACAGTACTAAGTTTGTCAAATCTCTTCCAACATCACACAACGAAGGCACACAACCGTCGATGGGGTGGAATACACAAACACAAAAACTGCCACTTGGCTCATCCCAACTCAGTGCTGTAAACAAACACTTGTCTTCTTTGGAATCACTCCTCGGTGTGCAAAGCCTTCAGAAGAGCGACCTTCGCGAAACGGGTGTTCCATTGGCGTTCTAGCTGTTTTCTCTACATTTGCTCCCAAAAGCCCTGCGCAATAAGTTTCAATGCTATAAGACGAATGTAGGGTTCACCAGGGTTTGAGTAAACAGTTTACGGTTGGTTGAAAGCTTCTTGCCGAGGACCTCTTCAGTGTGCGAAGCTTCCAACTGCGCAATGGCTCCAGCACACTCCGCCTGGTCCCAGTTATATACATGGTTAACTTCTGCTTCAAATGTGATGCTTGCACAATCAAGAATGTAAAATACACAGAAGAAACAACGAGTAGTGTGACGTATTGGTTCTCCCAAGAAGCTCCGGAGTCCGGAGGTTGAGTCCGGAGGTTTCCTGTTCACAAGTAGTACATGTGTACATGTTGCTTCTCCCACTCTTCATTCTAGAAGAAAACCTCCAAGAAGCGCGCCTCGTCGTCTTCAAACTCGGAAAGTTTTGGCAAGCCTGGACTTTGCGCAACTTGCACTTTGAGCGCCGGCACATCAGCAGTCACGCACTCCCGAACAACAGCAGTCAAACACTCAGCCTTCTTCAAGTTCCTGCTTGCATGCAGCCAAGTCCTGCTGCAATCTCACCAAGTCTTCACTACAGGCCTGACAAAACTGGCAAGGCACAATTGATTATGAAGGATTGCTTAAACATCATGTCTTTATAAACTTTATAGATCACAAGCTGTTTCTTGATTGCTTTATGAAACGGAATGAATTCCTGTCAAAAGATTCAAAACAATGAATTCCTGCCTGAATCTGGGTGCGCAAAACCTCTGCCTCCATGAAGCGCGCGATGACCGGAGCACCCTCTTCACGAAACTGCTTTACTTTGGCCTTGATCAATCAAGTGTTGACAAAGCTTGGTTTACTTTGGCAAACCAAGCTTTAAAACACAAAGTTTACTGTATTCTACTATATAGAGTGTTCAGCTTGTTTGAAAATATAGACAGTTCTTCGCAGGAAGGTTCCAGTTGGGTTTTCAGCTTGCCAGGTTTTCAACATGTGGTGTTTGGCCTGGATGTAGTTTCGTACTTGGTATATGTTGTTCGGGAGGGTCATACACATGCACCAGTCTGAGATCTCTCTCGGATAATTAGCAGTCTTGGTAAACCGCATGCGTGCGCCACGCACCATCTTTCCTGTATTCAGGGTGCCAGAGGGAGCTGGTACATAGACGTGTCAGCTGTTGCCGTACTGAAGCCAGTTCCAGCCCGCACAGCATAGGGTGGATTCTGCATGCTAGCAAAGCGAACCCTTGTAGTCTAAATGCGAAAGGGGAAGAGTAAGGAGGACCGTTGCCTTCCGTTTGCACCTTCCCACGAGGTCTTTGCGAAGAGCGGTTGACTGGCGAGTGGGCAAACATTCACCAGTGATTATCACAGAAGGATACACACTCCAGCAGTCTAGCAGCTTTTGAGGCAAACATGCCTCCAACCAGCACTATGATGAAGTTTTGAGCTGGCAGCCTGTGAAGTGTCAACCACCTTTTTATTGAGCTGCCTTAAACAGGGTCGTGGACAAGGAAGGTAGTCTGAATTTCAGGCAGATGAGCGATCGCACTGGGAGATGCAGCAGCAGAATTTTCGAGCAACAAACAGCAATCAACAAACAGCCTTAAAGCCAATATATGGAAGCAGCGGTGGCAATCTTGAGGATCATAGCCCAGCTCTTTCAGAGACAAGAACATGTAAGAGCGTGGAATATTACGTGTATATATAGCTAGTAACAAGTGCCACGCTAGTAGTAACAAGTGCCACGCTACTAGTAACAAGTGCCTTACTAGTTTGAATCTCGCACGGTTCCTTTTCACAGCAGCGAATCAGCTCAAGGGCCCTATTTAGCCGAGACAGCAGCGGCGGTGCATCAACTGTACGCAATACACCCTGGCTACAATCGGTAAAATTCACACCCGTCTTATCTACAGGTGTGTTGCGGGCTTTACAGTTCAAATTTGTACAAAGGCAGCCAAGCAAACTCGATTCCCCGTGGGGCCGTAAACCATGCCATTCCATGTCGAATTCTCAAAACAAGTCATGGTGATACTTCCTCATCTTCCATCTTGGCTCCCTTTTCGCATGCGCCACTGTTCTCGACATTGACAAGTCCACTTTCCAGTGTCTTGAGGAGGTAGTCCGGCTTCATGCTTTTGGTTAGCGGGTCTGCCAATTGCTTCGACGTCTCAATCCACCTCAGGTGGTCACCATAGGGACTGTAGATCTCCGATGTCTTCTCGCCATTCACAGTCCACACTCCTTGCCTCAATGCAGCAAGTTCTATGCCAAGCCTTTTGTCTTGTACTTTTCTCGGAACCTCTGCCAGTAAATGGTCCGATAAGCTCCTGCAATCGGTGTAATACACATGTGCCATTCGTCTCTGAGTTTCCTCGTGCCAGTTCTTGAAGTCATCAAGTCGTCCGGTCAACTCACAGATCAGACATCGTAGACGATCTCCATGTTCGACTGCAGTTTGCAGAGCATATGCTTCTGCTTGCAATGTAGCACGACACACCCTTTTGAGGGTAGTTGAACCAAAGCTGATCAGATTCATTTTGTGACTGCCTTCCTTGAGGCTGCTCGCATTCGTTATGTAGTGAATGCGGCCTTGCTGACACTTAAAGCCCTCTTCGTTTGCGAAACTTGCGTCGCTAAACGTCACAACTGCCAAATCGCTCCAGTCAATCCAATCACTCTTGAAGGTGATCTGCGAGTCACTTCCTTGAAGTGCCAATTCAACAACCTTGTTGGCGTTCTTCAAGTCTTGCACTGTTGCCTTTGCGCTGCATGCACGTTGCATCTCATTCACACGGTAACAAAGGTCTGGTCTTCCATAACGTGCGACCCAAGCCAAGCTACCAACAACGCTCCTGAGGCTTGTCAACTCTTTCTCTGTCACCTTTTCCGACAGCTTCCGACGCTTGTCGATTTCGATCGGCTTCACTGTTCTGCAGTTCTCACTTGTAGAAATGCTCACGGAGAAGTCTTCATGCTGTACGAACTGCCGTCCGCAGTATCGGAATCTGCCTGACTCGGTTTTGCCAATCGTGAACCTTTTGAGGATGCCTTCAATTGTCTTCTTGCCTTCATCAAGGTAGCAATACAACAAATCGTCGACATGCGTCGCGATCATGCCGATCAACTTCCCCTTGGGATTGTGCAAATAGTACAATGCAGGTGTGATGCGACTGCATTTCAACCCGGCACTGGTGATCCCACCATTCATCCTCAAGTAAAAGCCTCTGCCTGCGTCGATCGTACCATAGATCGGAAGGCGTGCAACCAGCATAGCATCCGGTGGAACATCCGGACTTGGAATTCCACCACGTGGCTGTTTGAGCAACAGCAACCTCGTCATCGGTTGACTCTGGAAGTACGCTGAAGAAACATCTGCCGCGTACAGGGTCACGCGATGGCTTGATGCGAAGCTCGCAATCAACATGTGTCCTTCAGTCTCAGCTGTGGGGCTGTCGCAGCGGATGCCCTGTGCATCACGGCTCACTTGTTCGTGGTTTCCACAAGCGACTAGACGAGATCTGTTTTCGGGCTGATGTTCAGGCGTTCCTGTGAGATGAGCTTGTTTATCCACATCTGCCCATTGCATGGGGATGGGAACATGCCCTTCCTGAAGCAACTCTTCCAACTCTTTGCCTCGAATGGGCATTGCAGCGTTGAAGCCCCTATATTTGCTCCACTCTGCACAACGTGCGTCCAAGATGCGGGCCTGCATCTCAGGGGTGCAGCGGTCGTACTGTAGCGTCCGTGCCACTTTGCCAGCATGCGTCTCACTGTTTTCTCCAAAGCGCTGAGCTACGAAGGCTTGAAACTCTGCAGTGTCAAGTCCGGTCTCGTCAACAGCGGCCATGGCGATCAACGGGTGTCTTACCCGTGTAAAGACAGTGAAACCAGTCCACACGCGAGAGTCAACATCATCCATGCCCGCCATGGACTCGCTGGTCACTCGACTGCCGTCTTCGTAGGCTTTTCTCGAATCCTTCCGGAACATCTCCGTCATACAGCGGATGGAAGTCATGGAATCTCCTCTTGTTGTGGACACGAATTGCATGGCTCTCAGAGATCCTCCAATGGTCTTCATTGTCAACCATTGCAAGCATGACCTCATCGTCACCGACAATGCCTCCGGGGGTCATCGGAACTGCGACTGCGCTTCCGCTTGCGCTTGCAGATGATCGGGCAGCCTTGCCCGTCTTATCTTCTGCTTGTGCTTCTCTCTTGTGTCCCTTCTTAGGGCTTGCCTCTTCGTCCATCATTCGGATGTACTTCTGCTGTCCCAATGTCACTGCTTCTGGGAAAGCTGGGATGTTGTTCAAAATAGAGTAGGCCAAAGATTCACTCTCATTGGCTGATCTGAGTTTTCCAGCGGCACACAAAACAGGAACACCTTCATGTAGCAACCAGATGCCATTATGCGGGTCAACGCCGATCGCACGCGAAGCAGTGGACCACACGGTTCCACCTTGCTGGGTGTCACGACGATAGACCACGAGGTCTCCAACCACAAATGACTTCTTGTTCTGGACTGCTGCATTCCTGGTCAATGCTCTTGCAACACGGGAACTTGTATCCAAATGAATAAATGCCTTTTGCGCAGCCATACGAGATGCATGACACAAATGATAGCTTGCTGCAGGGTCAAGCTTGTTCTCCAAGATGCCTAAGTTTCCTGCTTCATCCATATCTGTCACAGATCCTGGAACTCTTGGGTTCCTTCCCAGGACCCATTGTGCTGGAGAATAGCCTTGGACTCTCTGCATGTGATTCTTCACGGAAGTACATTCATGCAAGCATGTTTCAAATGCATTACGGCCAACGGCTTCCATGTCATGGATGGTCTTCCTGAGAATTGCCTTCAAGATACCTTGGTGCCTTTCAACGTTGCCAATGGCTGACGGTGTCTCCAATGGTGCATAGAAGATCTCGACACCGTGCGAAGCGAACAGCTTGGACACCTCACCTCGGTTGTGGACACCTCTATCCATGATTGCAGCCTTTGGAAAACCTGCCCAACTGATCCATCTACGAAGAATGGCTTGTGCACAGGCCTCTGACGTTGGCATACCTCCACCTTCTTTGACAACCTCTGACAGATGGAATCCTGTCGAAATGTCCAGCATCGTGAGGATGCTGTACTTGTTCCCTGCATAGTCCTTCATCTCTGTGACGTCAAGGCCAAGCATGGCATTGAACTCATACTGGAAATTACTATTTCCTACCGGATGGTCACGGGGACGTGGTGCAGTATCTTCGCAGGACTGACAACGGACAAGACGTGCGGCTTCGATCAACTCCTTGCTTGCCTTACCTGCCTTTAAAATGTTCTTCAAAGTTGACGGTGCGGGATGTCCGAACTGCCGACGCAAGCGACGAATTGCAATGCGAGTCCTCTGGGGAAGAGCACGCCACAACTGTCTCCGCTTCTGTTCCGTCATGTCGGCTCCGGGCAATGCAAGTTGATCTAGCATGAGTTCTTCCTGTTCTCTTGCCGACAACGGTTTTCCATCGTCTTGTTTGGTTTCCCGGGAAACTCCCTCAATGTCACTGTCGTCAATTTCAGAGATGCCTTCAAGTTCGTCTGCAACAAAACATGTCCGTGCAAAATGCTCCAAGTCTCTTCTGACATAGTGTTCAACATCTCTAGGAGTTTTGCCGATTTCGCGTCCTCAAAACACTTTGGGATCACGTTCTCTCCGCACCAACCTTCCAGCGCCTCCAAGAGCTTGGGGCTTTGTGGGCCTGCCAGGGCAAACTCTGGGTCACCACCAAGACAAATGGAATGTTCAACTGATATCTCGAGAAGTGGTGTGAAGGTTGCAGCCATAC